AGTCCAGAACTTTTACCCTTTCACCTAAAGGAAGCATTGTCTGGCTTTTCTTTGGCATATCCGAATTGCTAGCATCACTGCTCCTGTGTTTTGCAGCCATTATTAAGTAAAATAAGAATTACCTGGATGCAGGGGCTGCAATGCTCCAACAGTCAATCTTATAACCGAGACAGCTACTAAGTGACCAGTGGAAGGGGAGTGTCTACAACGTGAGACGCTGGATGAAGGGATGATTCATGCCCCACATGAGACAGAGCCAACAACGAGAGATTTCATCACACTACTCAGACTGCTGGCCAATCTAAATTTTATGAATTATTGATTTCTAGAAATTTTTAATGTCATATTTTCAGGCCAGGGCTGACTGCAAGCAGGTGAAATTGCAGAAAGCAAAGCCTTGGACAAGGGGGGACTACTGTATTATGGGAGATAAAGAAGCAAACTTTGGGTGCAAGAGCTTCGGTCTATGGAGTAAATAACTGGAAGGATGGAAAAGATAAAGGCTTCTAAACACTATGGACTTTCACAGGCCTTATTTGGGACATAAAGTGGGTATCACTAATGGTAATAATCCAAGTTTCATTGGATCTTTTCCCTTACCTGCTAGAGTAGTCTGTTCTCTCACAGCTATAAAGAAATACCTGAAACTGGGTAATTGATAAGAAAAGAGGTTTAATTGGCTCACAGTTCCACAGGCTTTACAGGAAGCATGGCTAGGGAGGCCTCGGGAAACTTTCAATCATGGCAGAAGGCAAAGGCGAAGCAGGCACATCTTACGGCCGGAGAAGGGGAAGAGTGAAGGCAGAGGAGCCACACACTTTCCGACAACCAGATCTCATGAAAACTCACTGTCATGAGAACAGCAAGAGGGAAATCTGCCCCCATGATCCAGTCACGTCCCAGCAGGCCCCTCCTCCAACACTGGGGATTACAGTTCAGCATGAGATTGGGGCGGGGACACAGGTCCAAGCCACATCACCTGCTTACACAGGACTTGAGTGCCTTCTTAAGCACTGCTCTACTCCTACCCCTACCCACACACCTGCATTTCTGGGGAATCCCCGGTGAGGAGTGAGGATCTCACACTGCCTCAGATTAACATTTGTCCTGCTTTCCACTGATGTTAGCTAGACACAGCAGTCTCCCGCCAAGCATCTGCTGGGTATTGATTTATTGGCTAGCCATCGCTGTTTTCTGCTAAAAGACTGCAGTTCTGGGTTGGCATCCATTGGATGCTGCCACATCCTTAAGGCACTACCATCACCCACTGGGAGCTGCCATCTCCTCTGGAGTTCTCAAGATTCCAAAGCTGCAAGCTGTCCTGTTGGTGCCATGAACTCTTCCTTTCCCTGTTGAGTTACACTCTGGGGACAGTAAGAGAGCAATACTGGTTATATCCCCATGCTTCTCAGGCATTGTAATGAAACGATGGGAAATGCCCCTCCACTCCCAGGAAGGGGGCTTTGTTACAGGTCAAGCTCATGCAGGACTCCTCCCACCCTTGGTATTCTCTCTCACAGGCTCCTCAATAGCTGTGCAAATTGGCTTCGGACTTGCCAATCCTCCCCTTTCTTCATATGTGCCCCGACATATCTGAATTGCAGATTATACTCAAATTGGAACTCCTTTTACATAAGATTCTAAGTATATAAAATGGAACTCAAAATTAACATGTGCCAGGAATAGGATACCTTCGGAGGAAATGCATTATTCATCAGTACCTGGTATTTGCCTGTATATCCTTTTTTCTCTTAACAGGAGGGAACTTCTTTTTGGAAATCTACTTTCTTACAGATTTCAGTCTTCACAAAGTTCTCTTTAACTTTCCCATAATCATAAGCTAGATGTCAGGAGATTTATTTCCTCTAGAATTAAAACAAATCTCATCTGTGATATAAAATTCCTTACCACCAGAGGGAGATATTCCTTTTCTCATCTGTTCTTTAAGTATTTTAGTAGGATACAGTGACATGACAAAAGCGGATACTTCAGGGCACAAATCTGACCCTCTTATTCTTTTTTGATCTAACTGCTTTTGCTTGTCATTCTTCGCCTCCTAAAGCTCAAATACTCCTCCTGCTCCCTGACTTTGATCTGATGATTGAGAGAATAGCATTACCAGGGGCTCAACCAAACTTTCATTTACAGCTTGGATGCTGTCAAAGGCCATTATCAAACAATGGAGTAGTGCATTCTGATGAGACTGGGGTATTCGGGGTGGTATGGCCATAGACTGCAGTAGTGTATTCTGGATCTTGGCTTTCTAATGACATTGTTGGATAGATTTGGTGCCTAAAGATCAACCAACCAACAGAAACTTCTCTACAGTGTTCAACATATATATGGGAAATCTAGCATATTATAGAATGATCATTTTTGCATAATTAAAATATAATTTCCTCCATAAAAATAGATGAGAAACAGCTAATTTGGGGGAAACGTATAAATCCACAATTAGTTAAGAATAACCTCTTACTTGATCCAGAAAGTTACCCTTTTTAAAAAAATTATTGTGAGCCGGGTGCGGTGGCTCATGCCTGTAATCCTAGCACTTTGGGAGGCTGAGGTGGATGAATCACCTGAGGTCAGGAGTTCAAGACCAGCCTGGCCATCATGGTGAAACCCCATCTTAAAAAATAAATTTAAAAATCACAAATTTAAAATTTAAAAATTAGGCCGGGCGCAGTGGCTCACGCCTGTAATCCCAGCACTTTGGGAGGCCGAGGCGGGTGGATCATGAGGTCAAGAGATCGAGACCATCCTGGTCAACATGGTGAAACCCCGTCTCTACTAAAAATACAAAAATTAGCTGGGTATGGTGGCGCATGCCGGTAATCCCAGCTACTCGGGAGGCTGAGGCAGGAGAATTGCTTGAACCCAGGAGGCGGAGGTTGCGGTGAGCCGAGATCGCGCCATTGCACTCCAGCCTGGGTAACAAGAGCAAAACTCCATCTCAAAAAAAAAAAAAATTATTGTGGTAAAAACACTTAATGAAAGCTATTGTCTTTTATTTTATTTTATTTTATTTTTTTTGAGACAGAGTTTCACTCTTGTTTCCCAGACTGCAGTGTAATGGCGAGATCTCAGCTCATTGCAACCTCCCACTCCCGGATTCAAGTGATTCTCCTGCCTCAGCCTCCTGACTAGCTGGGATTACAGGTGCGCACCACCACACTCAGCTAAGTTTTGTATTTTTAGTAGAGATGGGGTTTCACCATGTTGGCCAGGCTGGTCTTGAACTCCTGGGCTCAACCGATCCTCTCACCTCAGCCTCCCAAAGTGCTGGGATTATAGGCATGAGCCACCACACCCACAAAAGCAATAGGGATTGCTATTATTTTTTAAATTACAAAAATATATAGGCAAGGATGGAAAGAAATGGGAACCCTTGTACACTGTTGGTGCGAATGCAAAATTGTGCAGCTAAAGAGGGAGTCTCCTCACCAAATTCAAAAGGGAACAACCTTATAATCCAGAGAGAGACTGTTTAACATGAATCTAAAGGTCATAGGATAAGTTTAGTAGAAGATTATACAATTAGATACATTTAGTTACAGATCTAGCCTTCAATGGAAATTATATCTCATGACTTTTGGAGATGGAAGATAGTCTATACATAGTATGAGGGAACTAAGCTTTGCTGTTTCTCTCTATGGCCCTACTGTTTGTAGGCCATATTCCAGCAGAGGGTTTTCTACCCCCTAACATTTAGGTAAAATTAGCTTGAAATTTCATGCCCTGTGGAAAGCTCAATGTCCTTTCTAATACTTCTGTAAATTCCTGGGAGAGTGATAATTTCATGGCCGCTCTGGCCCCGCCTTCCTTAAATCTCTTGGTCCCCACCCCTGCTGCCTTGTGGCTGGTCCTTTATCTTTGTCCCATAATTGACCAAACATTCAATTCAGCACCTTTCTTTAAAAAACAAAATAGGGCCGGCCGTGCGTGGTGGCTCACACCTGTAATCTCAGCACTTTGGGAGGCCAAAGTGGGTGCATCATTAGAGGTCAGGGGTTTGAGACCAGCCGGGCCAACGTGGTGAAATCCTGCCTCTATTAAAAATACAAAAATTAGCCGGGCTTGGTGGCAGGCACCTGTAATCCCAGCTACTCAAGAGGCTGAGGCAGGAGAATTGCTCGCACCTGGGAGACCGAGGCTGCAGTGAGCCAAGATCACACCACTGCACTCCAGCCTGGGCGACAGAGAGAGACTCTGTCTCAAAAATAATAATAATAATTAATAAATAAATAAATTTTAAAGCCCCCTTCAAAGCCTAGGTGAATGTCAGAGACTTTACTGAAGGTTTAGAAAATTTGAAAAAGTTTACATATCTAAACAATTTAAACCATATATGAAACATCCATCCCTGGTCTAAAAATTTCCTCAAACTACTAAATGGCTTGGCCATACTCTCTATTTTCTCCTCCTCCTTCTCTCCTTTCTGTTCTTTCCCTCAACTCCAAGTTCCTGTATAATTTCTTCTATTTCTATCCTCATTTCCTGCTGTTCATGCCTGTAGGGTCTTCTACTCTAGATATTTTCTCGAGATACTTTCCCAAACGTAGGCTAGGAGGAATTCTGGTGCCAGTCGTAAAGATGTTCATAATCTCACACACACATAAACATTTCCATGTGCTTATCAGGGCTATTTTTTTTCTGGCCAGGCTGTCTCAGCCACCATCTTGCCTTAAATTAAACTCTTTTATTCCAGAAGCAATGGCCGGTATGCCAGCTGTGATGCTTCTCATGGTCAGTGCTGGAGGAAAACTTGGAAAAAGACAACATCATATGTTGGAGTAAAAGTATAGAAATGGGCTAGGGCATGGCGATTTAATAGCAAGAGACATTTTGCTATCAATCAAATAATATTTATTGAACATCTATTCTGAAAAAGGCTCTTCAGTAGAAGCATGCAGGAAAAAACAATCTTGTTCATACCTTTACGGGTATATCAGGGATTGAAACTCCTGGAATTTATCCAAATCTAATTTGTCCTTGCCCAGGCTGAATGGAGAGAAGAAGTGAAAAAACACTTTGAGAAGATCAAAAGTGAAGGAACTTGTATACACCGGTTGGATGAAGAACTGATTCGAAGGCGCAGAGAAGAGCTCAGGTCAGCTCATCCCTCCTCTTCCACCTCCTCTGCCCCCAGGTCTGCAGATGCTGACGGGCACCCTCTTTATAACCCCCATTTTTCGACCACCTTTCACCTCTGCTTTGTACTGTTCTGCTGTTTAAAAGTTGCCCCCAAAGTTAGCCCTCTTGTATATCTCTTTTCTGTCCTTTCCTGCCAACTCTATTATCCTCTTTTATTATGTCTCTGCAACAAGGATTCCCGAAACAATGCTATTTGGTCATTCAGCCACTGTCCTAGGTGCCATGGAATTCAAGAAATTTATGAGATTTAGTTTCTGGCTTCAAGATACTTATAATCTATTAAGAGATATAAGGCCAAGTGCAGTGGCTCACACCTGTAATCCCAGTACTTTGGGAGGCCAAGGCAGGTGGATCACTTGAGCCCAGGAGTTCAAGACCAGCCTGCCCAACATGGCAAAACCCATCTCCACTAAAAGTACAAAAAATTAGCTGGGCATGGTGGTGCACACCTGCGATCCCATCTACGCAGGAGACTGAGTAAAGAGAATCACTTGAACCCAGGAGATGGAGGCTACAGTGAGCCAAGATTGTGCCACTGTACTCCAACCTGGGTGACAGAGTGAGAGTCTGTCTCAAAAAAGAGAGAGAGATGAGGCATGTTCATAGATAATCACTGATATGATTTGGCTCTGTGTCTCCACTCGAATCTCACCTCAAATTGTCATCCCCATAGTCCCCATGTATCAAGGACAGAACCAGGTGGAGTAATTGAATCATGGGGCGGTTTCCCCCAAGCTGTTTTTGTGATAATGTGTGAGTTCTCAGGAGATGTGATGGTTTTATAAGCGTCTGGCATTTCCCCTGCTTTCAGTCACTCCACCTGTGAAGAAGGTTCTCCTTTGCCTTCTGCCATGATTGTAAATTTCCTGAGGCCTCCCTAGCAATGCAGAACTGTGAGTCAATTAAACCTCTTTCCTTTATAAATTACCCAGTCTCAGCTATTTGTTCATAGCAGTGTGAGAGCAGACTAATACAATCACATCTGAATCAGTTCCAGCTGCTATAACAAACCTTAGATTGGAAAATTTATAAACAATAGAAATGTATTCATCACAGTTCTGGAGCTGGGAAGTCCACTATCAAGGTACCAGCAGATTCAGTGTCTGGTGAGGGCCTGTTTCTCATAGATGGCACCTTCTATGTGTCCTCATACCACAGAGGGCAAAAGGGCTCCCTAAAGTCTCTTTTATAAGGGGACTAATCCCACTGACAAGGGCAGAACTCTCATGATCAAATCACCTCCCAAGGACCCTACCTCTTTTTTTTTTGAAACAGAATCTCGCTCTGTCGCCCAGGCTGGAGTGCAGTGGCACAATCTCAGCTCACTGCAACCTTTGCCTCCTGGGTTCAAGTGATTCTTCTGCCTCAGCCTCCCAAGTAACTGGGACTACAGGCACACACCACCATGCCCAGCTAAGTTGTATTTTTAGTAGAGACAAGGTTTCACCATGTTGGTCAGGCTGGTCTCGAACTCCTGACCTCGTGATCTGCCTGCCTCGGCCTCCCAAAGTGCTGGAATTACAAGCATGAGCCACCCTGCCCGGCCGACCCCACCTCTTAACATTATCACCTTGGGTGTTAGGTTACAACATATAAATTTGGGGGGACGCAGACATTCAGACCATAGCAACTACTCTATCACAAAGGATCTGGGCCGTGGCTAAGTATAAATGAGTGATCATGGTATTGGCTTTAACTGCATATTTCCATTAACACGTGAGTATATTCTGCTGTATTCTTATAAAGATAATGCCAACCCTGCACAGTTGAAGGTGACAAATTATAGACAGATTTTTATCTGTGGCCTTCTTGGCTATTCTATATGGCTAGATGGGCCCTTTAGGATAAATCAAGTGGAGAGCTCAGATTCCCCATCTCCCATTCCATTTTCTGAGTTACTGCACTGGACAAGGGAGCCTTAACAATAGAGAGCCTTGGGCAAATGCTTTTGTGATCAGTCATCCTGTTCCTTCTGTCATCAAGCTGACTTTTGTTCTCCTGAAGTTGGCTGGCCTGGCTGACCCTGTGTTTTCTTCGATAGGCATGCGCTGGATATTCGTGAACACTATGAGCGAAAGCTTGAGCGGGCGAATAATTTGTACATGGAATTGAGTGCCATCATGCTGCAGCTAGAAATGCGGGAGAAGGAGCTTGTTAAGTATGTATCCAGACCAGTGTCTGTTCTGACTGATTCCAGTCTGTCAGTCAGCAGAAACGTACTACTCTTCCTTGTTGCTGCTAATCAGAACTGGCAGATATTTTATTCATTCACCCAACATTCCTTCAGGGATGTGCGACGCACAGGTCCCTGCCCCTGATGAAGTATACAAGTGAGTGGAGGTGCCACAGAGCAAGTTATAGGGGAACATGCACTTGGCAGGCATTTGCTGGATAGGGAAGGGGGGTCTCATTTCAAGAACAGCACGGTGTGAAGAAGGGGAAGCTGATTGCCCGCTGGGGAAGCATATTGGCTGCTGAAAAGTGGTGTAAGGGACTCCTGATGCTGACAGGAAAACCCTGGGAATCCTGACCAAATGAGCAGCTACTGAAAATAAGCAGGACTTCAGTCATTGTTAGTGTCTGAGAAGGTGAGCTGAAGAGCAGAATGAAGTCAGGTTCATTTGAATTTAGTACTTGTTTGCTTTTTAAACCTGCAGCCTTGTCATTCAGATAGCTTGTATCCGCTAAACGTGGCCAGAATCCATGGGTAGAATTCGCCTGTGGAAACATTCTGCCTCATTCTTTCTGTCTGCAATGACTGAGAAGTGGCTTTTGCCTTTATTTGGCAGGCGTGAGCAAGCAGTGGAAAAGAAGTATCCGGGGACCTACAAACGACACCCTGTTCGTCCAATAATCCACCCCAACGCCATGGAGAAACTCATGAAAAGGAAGGGAGTGCCTCACAAACCTGGGATGCAGACCAAACGGTGAGACACCTGTGCAAACGCAATGTTGAGATAAATGGGGAAATAGCCCCCTACAAACCCATTCTCACATACTGGCAGATGTGGCCTCTTTAGCTCATCAGATGAGTGTAGAGATACTTATCTCTAGATAAAACAGGGTAGGAAGGTGAGAGAGCATCGCAGACTTCAGGAATCTAGCTCTTACATCTGTGGCATAAATTTGATTGTCTTAGCCTGGAAAGAGAAATAAACTAGGGGCCAAACAGACCTGGATTCAAATCCTGGACCTGCCTTTTAAGCCGTGTGACTTGACCTGTTTCAACCCCAGTGTTCTCATGGATGAAATGGTATAATTACAGCACTTGAGGTTTCTTTTCGTTTCTGTGACCTCTAGGACATAGAATTGGGTTAGTTATAATTCTAGATTTACAACACAATAGTCCACGCATGGCCTACTTTTATATACACATTTGGTTAGTTCTTTTAAATAATGTGGAAAGTACCTGCAAACTCATTGTATTAGTCCCTTTTTGCATTGCCATAAAGAAATACCCGAGACTGGATAATTTATAAAGAAAAAAGGTTTAATTGGCTCATGGTTCTCCAGGCTACACAGGAAGCATGACAGCTTCTGGGGAGGCCTCAGGAAACTTACAATCATGGTGAAAGATGAAGGGGGAGCCAGCACTTCCCATGACTGGAGTAGGAGGAAGAGAGAGCAAAGGCGGAGGTGCCACACTCCTTTAAATAACCAAATCTCATGAGAACTCACTCACTATCATGAGAATAGTATCAGGGGATGATGCTAAACCATTCATGAGACACTGCCCCCATGATCCAATCACCTCCCCCAGGACCCACCTCCAACAGCAGGGATTACAACCCAACGTGAGCTTTGGGTGGGGACATAGACTCAAACCACATCACTTGTCATGGAAACAAAAGCAGGGGCTTTGATAATTACCTATATCTAACCATATGGTTCTCCTTATTGTACCCTAGCAAGGGAGTTTTGTGAAGTTTAAATAAGATAACATGTATAACATGTGAAATCATCTACCAAATGATAGGTGCTCAAAAAATGTGTTTTGGCATAGTTTAAAAAAAGATTGCCTTTCCCCCTTCTTACTACATATTTGGCTTATATTCGTTTAATCTTGGAATTCTCTTCCTGCCATTATTCCTCACCAAATTCTGCAGAGCCTCATTCCTCCCAAGTAACAGAGGTTGGCTCTCTCCTATCTAAGTTAATGTAAAGGAAAGGAATGCCCCTAAACCTAGAGTGTAGACCTAATAGTAAGATGTGAGCTACATGCAGTAAGAATAGAGGTAATGAGATAACACAAGCCAAGAATGTACTATGATGCTATCAGAATGACAGTCATTCTACCACAGCTGGACTAATATATACCTAAACTGCTAATGGGTAACTACCTGAACTACTTCCAACTTTGCTTTTACCTACTTCCCCAACCATCTAATGGTCAAGTTCTAAAAAATTGTTTTCAGATTCCACCTGACATAATCCTTGGGGTAGGGGAATTCCCAACACCCCTTTTCTTAGGTTGTACTAATTAGGGACAGAGTCTGCCTAGTGGCTGCTCCCTGCCTTCTGCCTACAGTTAAAGCCACGGGCATTGGGGGAGAAAATGGGACCACTTAACTTTTTAAAATATGAGCTCATGTTTGCTTTTATTTGGGCTGTGAGAAATATTTGAAAGAGTTTGACACCACAAGTAAATGCTTAGTCAGTGAGCTAGTGAGCACGAGGAAGGCAGCCTGCAAAGAGCTGTACTGTCAGCTGGTTGTCCCTTGAAGGACTTCCGTTTCAGATGATTTAGACAGCCCAATGATGACCAAGTGAGAAGTCTGGAGACCTTGGAGGAGATCAGAGAGGAGAAGCCATTCAACCATCCTTAAGCCCAGGTTTCAGTTTATGTTTAGTTAGAGACTAAAAGGAAGAGTGTCAGGTTCAATCATGGACACTTCCAGCCTGTCATAAGTGAGTACAGTCCAACAAGATCGTCTAAATGCCCCATAATAAGGAGAAGCCTGCAATGGGGAAGAACTACGCGTTGGGGTCCAAAGACTTGGGTTCAGATTATGAGTTCTGCCATTTGCTAGCTTTGTGATGGCTACAAGCCAGCATAACCTCTGATCCTCAGTGTGCTTTTCCATAAAATGCATATTGTAATAGTAGAAACCAAGTGCTTTCTGCAGTGCAAGTTGGCCAGCTGACCACAGAGTTTTGAATCTGGGACAGGAAGGTGCCGAGAGCAAATAATACCCTACCCACCTTATCATAAACCCTTAGTACCTGGAACTTCCATACGAAGACAAGCCCTTAACTGTACTTTTCCTGTAAAACAAAAGAAACCCATCTCCTGCTGTCTGCTCCCTGCTTATGAGCTCCGGCTATTCAACATGTGGCCTCACTTTAGCAACATCTGAGAGCTTGTTATACTTGGAGGCTCTTAGGCCTCACCCCAGCCCTACTAAATAAAAATCTTCAGTTTTGAAAAGCTCCCCAGATGATTTTATGTGCCTTCAGGTTTGAACTCTGACCATTCAATAAACCAGATTGAAAATTAGGAGATACTTTTTGTCTGGATTCTACCACTAATGAGCTTTGAGAGCATAAGCCACTTTGGCTGGGCTGTAAGTTCTTTATCACACATGGTGAAGATGGGACTGTACCTGTGGTTTCCAAGCAAAGTGTGGAACACCCAAGAGCTTGCACAGAGGTTTCTCCCAGGCCACTGCAGGGGTAGAAAGGACAAGGAGGGGGAGCCCAGGAGCCCTGCAGAGAGAAGCTGCTGCCCTCTACTTCAACCAGCTCCACTATATCTGTTTTATATACTGCATTTCTCATAATAATTCATTAGAGAGAAGGATTCTGTTGTTAAAAACAAAAAAGTTTGGGCCCATCACCTCTAAAATTTTATGCTGACTTGTGTCTTTCTGGTCTAAAGAAGGATAAGGCTACTCGCTGGTAGAAAGAAAGCAGTGGTTCTTCCTGGTAATCCTAGAGCAGGCGTCCCCAAACTTCTTACACAGGGGGCCAGTTCACTGTCCCTCAGACCGTTGGAGGGCCGCCACATACTGTGCTCCTCTCACTGACCACCAATGAAAGAGGTGCCCCTTCCTGAAGTGCGGCGGGGGGCCGGATAAATGGCCTCAGGGGGCCACATGCGGCCCATGGGCTGTAGTTTGGGGACACCGGTCCTAGAGGCTCTGCCCTGAATCAGTTCATCAGTTCTGAAACCAGTCATTATTTGCCGACAGGCCTTGGAAGCAGTGTAGGCAAGGTTTACCTTCAGGCCTCTGACTTTCTTTTGCACATAATCTTCATGACTGGCCCAGTGGGCACCTGAACAGGACTGTGAAAAGACCCCCCCCCCACTTTAGGATCAAAGTGGAATGCCAGTGTCACTCTGCACTAGCCCATCTCTTCCTGCTTCTGCTCAACCTCCTGCTGAGCTATTTCCTCCTTCTCTGATCCCTCCCTTCCTTTTCCTTCCTTCAAGCTTCACTAAGTACTCACTATAAACAAGACTCCTTGCTAGGGCCCTTTACACACAAAGATGGGTAAGACATAGTCCCAACCTGTAAGGAGATCATGTCTAGGCCAAACTCTCTGAACTTAACCTCTTACCTAATTAAGCTGAGGTTTTCCTCTCTGGTACCAGATCTCTTTTCTTTGTGAGCCCCTGAAAGATCTGCCCAGATCCATTATCATACAGATTTCTGATTGTGGACAAACACTCATGCCAATACACTGGCATATTGGCACCAAGCTGATAGCTAGGGCTATGAGGAAGAGATCAAAAAGCCTGTAGAGCAGAATTATAAGTTAAAGAGGATTGCGTTCCTAGACTAGTGTACTAGTCTGTTTTAACACCACCATAAAGAACTACCTGAGACTGGGCTATTTATTTATTTTTTTTTAGGACAGGTCTCACTATGTTGTTCAGTGTTGCCCAGGCTGATCTCGAACTCCTGAGCTCAAGCAATCTGCCCTCCTTGGCCTCCCAAAGTGCTGGGATTACAGGTGTGAGCCACCACACCTAGCCTGAGACTAGATAATTTATAAAGAAAAGAGGTTTAATTGACTCGACAGTTCCACATGGCTGGGGACGCCTCAGGAAACTTACGATCATGGTGGAAGACGAAGGGGAAGCAAGGCATGTCTTACATGGCAGCAAGAGAGAGTGAGGGGGAAACTGCCACACACTTTTAAACCATCAGATCCCTTGAGAACTCACTAGCATGAGAACAGCATGGGGCAAATTGTCCCCATAATCCAATCACCTCATACCAGGTCCCTACCTTGACATATGAGGATTCAACATGAGATTTGGGTGAGGACACAGAGCCAAATCATATCATTCCACCTCAGCCTCTCCCAAATCTCATGTCCTTCTCACATTTCAAAACCAATCATGCCTTCCCAACAACCCCCAAAGTCTTAACTCATTTCAGCATTAACTCAAAAGTCCAAGTCCCTGTCTCAGATGAGACAAGGAAAGTCCCTTCCACCTGTGAGCCTCCAAAATCAAAAATAAGTTACTTACTTCCAAGGCACAATGTGGGTACAGGCTTTGGGTAAACACCCCCATTCCAAAGGGAGAAATCAGTCAAAACAAAGGTGCTACAGGCTCATGCAAATCCAGAACCCAGCAGATCTATCATTAAATCTTATAGCTCTGAAATAATCTACTTTGACTCCATGTCTCACATCCAGGCCACACTGATGCAAGGGGTAAGCTCCCAAGGCTTTGGGCAGCACCACCCCTATGGCTTTGCAGGATACAGCCCCTGTGGCTACTTTCACAGGCTGGCATTGAGTGCCTGTGACTTTTACAGATGCATGCTGCAAGCTATTGGTGGATCCACCATTCTGGGGTTTGGAGGATGGTGGCTGTCTTCTCACAGCTCTACTAGGCGGTGCCCCAGTGGGGACTCAGTGTGCAGGCTCCAACCCCACAGTTCCCCTCCACACTACCCCAGTAGAGGTTCTCCATGAGGGCTCCACCCCTCAGCAGACTTCTGCCTGGACATCCAGGTGTTTCCATACGTCCTCTGAAATCTAGACAGAGGTTCCCAAACTCTTGCCTTCTGTGCACCTACAAGCCCAACACATGTGGAAGCCACCAAGGCTTGGGGCTTGCACCTCTGAAGCAATGGCTTGAGCTATACCTCGGCCCCTTTTAGTTATGGCTGTAGCTGGAGCAGCTGGGATGCAGGATACCATGACCTGAGACTACATAGAGCAGCTGGGCCCTAGGTCTGGCCCATGAAACCATTTTCCCCTCATAGACCTCTGGGCCTGTGATGGAAGGGGCTGCCACAAAGATCTCTGAAATGCCCTGGAGACGTTTTCTCCATTGTTTTTGCAGTTAACATTTAGCCCCTCTTTATTTATGTGAATTTCTGCAACCATGGCTTGAATTTCTCCCCCAGAAAATGGTTATTTTTTTTTCTTTTCTACTGCATGGTCAGGCTGAAAATTTTCCAAATTTTTATGCTCTACTTCCCTTTTAAATGTAAGTTCCTTGTGAATGCATATAACTGTATGCTGTTAAGAACAGCGAGGCTACATCTTGAACACTTTGCTGCTTAGAAATATCTTCCACCAGATACTCTAAATCTTCCCTCTCAAGTTCAAAGTTCCACAGATCTCTAGGGCAGGGGCAAAATGCTGTCCGTCTCTTTGGTAAAGATTAGCAAGAGTGACCTTCACTCCAGTTCCCAATAAGTTCCTCATCTCCATCTGAGACCATCTCAGTTTGGATTTCATTGTCGATATCAGCATTTTTGCCAAAACCATTCAACAAGTCTCTAGGAAGTTCCAAACTTTCCCACATCTTCCTGTCTTCATCTGAGTCCTCCCAGACTGTTCCATTCTCTGCCCATTACCTGATTCCAAAGCTGCTTCCACATTTTCAGATCTCTTTATGGGAGTGCCACTCCCCTGGTACCAATTTTCTGTATCAGTCCTTTTTCACACTGCTATAAAGAACTACCTGAGACTGGGTAATTAATACAGAAAAGAAGTTTAATTGACTCACAGTTCCATGTGGCTGGAGAAGCCTCCAGAAACTTACGATCATGGTGGAAGGTGAAGGGGAAGCGAGGCATGTCTTACATGGCAGCGAGAGAGAAAGTGATGGGGGAGCTGCCACATATTTTTAAACTATCAGATCTTATGAGAACTCACTATCACAAGAACAGCATTGGGGAAGCTGTACCCATGATCCAATCACCTCTCACCAGGTCCCTTCCCCAACATGTGGGGATTACAATTTGACATGAGATATTTGGGTGGGGACACAGAGCCGAACCATATCAGCTAGTGAGGCATAGGATATAATACAGAAGGAATAACAGAAATCCTGTCAGTGGAAATGTAGGTTGTTTCCAGCTTTTTGCTATTTCAAATAATACTGTAACATAACATCATCAAACATATATTTTGATGCACATATGAGGGGACTTCAAAAAGTTCATGGAAAATGTAATTATAAACCATAACAACTAAAAATATAAACTTTACTTCTGAACATAAGCTCCATCAAGGTTAAGACAGTTTTGTAAGTGATTTTATCAGCCATTTAATTCATCCCTAAAAAACTGAGGGTCCTGGGAATGTATCCATGTCAATACAGTCTTTTTCAGATTATTAACTGAAGAAAAATGGATGCCCTTTAAAGGTATTTTAAGATTAGGAAACAGAAAGAAGGAGCCAAATCAGAACTGCAAGGTGGACGCCTAATGATCTCCCACAGAAGCTCTTGAAAAATTGCCTTTGTTTGATGAGATGAATGAGCAGGAGCATTGTCATGGTGGAGAAGGACCCTCTGGTGAAGGTTTCCTGGACTTTTTTCTGCTAATACTTTGGCTAAGTTTCTAAAACACTCCCATAATAAGCAGATATTGTCATTCTTTGGCCCTCCAGAAAGTCAACAAGCAAAATGCTTTGAGCATCCCCAAAAAACTGTTGCCATAACCTTTGCTTTTTTTTTTTTTTTGATTTGTAGAGACAGGGTCCTGCTAGGTTGCCCAGACTGGTCTCAAACTCCTGGCCTCAAGCAGTCCTCCTAAAGTATTGGGATTACAGGCATGAGCCTGTACCTGGCTGACCTTTACTTTCTTTTTTTTTTTTTGAGATGGAGTTTCACTCTTGTCACCTAGGCTGGAGTGCGGTGGCCCAATCTCAGCTCACTGCAACCTCTGCAACCTGGGTTCAAGTGATTCTCCTGCCTCAGCCTCCCAAGTAACTGGGATTACAGGTGCCCACCACCATGCCCGGCTAATTTTTGTATTTTTTGGAAACATGAGGTTTCACCATGTTGGCCAGGCTAGTCTCAAACTCCTGACTTCAGGTGATCCACCCACCTTGGCCTCCCAAAGTGCTGGGATTACAGGTGTGAGCCACCATTCCCGGCCAACCTTTACTCTTGACCAGTCTGCTTTAACTGGACCAGTTTCACCTCTTGGTAGCAATTACTTTAATTGTGCTTTGTCTTCAGCATCATACTGGTAGAGCTGTGTTTCATCTCCTATTACAATTTCACTTATTCAAAGAAATGTTTGAAGATCTTGATCCCAAGTGTTTAAAATTTCTGTTGTGTGCAAGTTCTGCTCTTGTACGCAGCTGATCTGAATGCAACGGTTTGATTCCCATTGAGTGGAAAGTTTGTTCAGCTTTAATTTTTCTATCAGAATTGTGTAAGCTGAGCCAGATGAGATGTCTGTTGTTTCTGCTGTTAATCTTCAGTTCTTGTCAATTAGGGCATGAATAAGATGAATTTTTTTCTCACAAATTGATGTGGTTGAACTGCTCCTGTGGGCTTCATCTTCAACATCATCTCATCCCTCCCCACCAACTTTTTTTTTTTTTTTTTTTTTTTTGGTGAGATGGAGTCTTGCTCTGTCACCAGACTGGAGTGCAGTGGCACAATCTCATCCCACTGCAACCTCTGCATCCTGGTTTCAAGTGATTCTCTTCCCTCAGCCTCCCAAGTAGCTGGGACTACACATGCAAGCCACCATGCCCAGCTAACTTGTATTTTTCGTAGAGACAGGGTTTCACCATGTTGGCCAAGATGGTCTTGATCTCTTGACCTCGTGATCCATCCGCTTTAGCCTCCCAAAGTGCTGGGATTACAGGAATGAGCCACCGCGCCCGGCCCATTTCTTCTTAAAGACGTTATCCATTTGTAAACTGCTGAGTTATTTGGGACATTGTCCCCATAAACTTTTCATAAAGCATCAATGTTTTCACCATTCTTTCACTTAAGCTTTACCACAGATTTAATGTTTGTTCTTCAACTGTAGCAGAATTCATATTGCTCTGATAGGGGCTCTTTTCAAAGCGATCTTTCTTAGTGCCTCAAACTAGATCATGTTTACACGTTACCAACAAGTTGGTATGAGTTTGTTTCAGTGCAAAAAATTTTGAGATCCATGCATATTTTTTTCATAACATGTGTTTTCCGTGAACATTTTGAAGACCCCTCATATGTTATCTCCATTGGATAAATCCTGGTGACTGCTGATTCAAAGAGTCTGTGTATTTTATGTTTTAGGATACATTTCCCCAAACTCAAATGTGTTTTCATGTGTTTAAAACTAAACCTGTTCTTTTCTCCTAGACCAGACTTGTTGAGATCAGAAGGGATCCCCACTACAGAAGTGGCTCCCACGGCATCCCCTTTGTCCGGAAGTCCCAAAATGTCCACCTCTAGCAGCAAGAGCCGATATCGAAGCAAACCACGCCACCGCCGAGGGAATAGCAGAGGCAGCCATAGTGACTTTGCCTCAATCTTGAAAAACCAGCCAGCCCAGGAAAATTCACCCCATCCCTCTTACCTACACCACGCTCAATCCCAGTACCCTTCTCTCCATCACCATAATCCTCTGCAGCAGCAATACCAGCAGCCCCCTCCTGCCACGTCCCAGAGTCACCATCCCAGACTCAATATTCACGGACAGGACATTGCAGCCTGCGCCAACAACCTGCGGTATTTTGGCCCAGCAGCGGCCCTGCGGAGCCCACTCAGCAACCACGCCCAGAGACAGCTGCCTGGCTCGAGCCCTGACCTCATCTCCACGGCCATGGCTGCAGACTGCTGGAGAAGTTCTGAGCCTGACAGGGGCCAGGCTGGTCCCTGGGGCTGTTGCCATGCTGACCCTTATGACCCCTGCCTTCAGTGCAGACCAGAACAGTATGGATCCTTAGATGTGCCCTCTGCTGAGCCAGCGGGGAGGAGCCCTGACCGTTCCAAGTCACCAGCACATAATCCTCTCTTGGAAAATGCCCAGAGTTCTGAGAAAATGGAAGAAAAAGGATTCAGCAGCTGTAGGTCTGAGTCATCCCTCGGCACCACTCAGCTCATCACTCCTCCAGTGCTACCTCGAAAAACAAGGCCTCTGCAAAAGGTAAAGTGTACCGGCAAGAGTAGCCTGCGTCACTGCCTTCAAAGAATGTCAGAGCCTGTCGTGTTACACACATTAGAAAGCATATGTAAAAACCATACACTTTATAAAAGGATAAGATGAAAGAAACATGAATAGAAACTTATTTTACTTTAAATTCGTTCTTTCCATACTACGTAAGTGTTAAGCTACAGAATACACTTTAGGAACCACTGACCCAGAGGACTGAATCAAATGTATGCATAATAATTTATGAGTAGATAACTATATATTGGGGATATGGGATGGGTGTGGTGGCTCAAGCCTATAATCCCAGCACTTTGAGGGACCGAGGCAGGTGGATCTCTTGAGGTCAGGAATTAAAGACCAGGCTGGCCAACATAGTAAAATTCCACCTCTATTAAAAAAAAATACAGAAATTAGTCAGGTATGGTAGCATGCACCTGTAATCCCAGCTACTTGGCAGGCTGAGGCATGAGAATTGCCTGAACCTGGGTGGTGGAGGTAGCAGTGAGCCGAGATCGCACTGTTGCACTCCAGCCTGGGCAGCAGAGCGAGACTCCATCTCAAAAAAAAAAAGAAAAAATAACTGTAGAGTAGGGATATGTAATCAAAATAGTTTGGAAACCGCTATCCTAGCAGTCTAGTTCTGAGGGATGTTATGAATAAGTTTTAGTTGAAGAAGCACGGTATTCTCTTATTCCCTCATGCAGATGACCAAATCCTCCACTTTGAGAAATCACATGGTCAGCTTGTTTAACCAAGCATTTCCCTCCCCTATTTGAACATACAGCCTTTTAAAATTAACACCTATTAATCCCCCCTGGCATTGCCTTTCTTCACAATTTACTTTGGAAAACATTGCCTTAAATTTTTTTTTTTTTTTGAAACGGAATCTTGCTCTGTCACCCAGGTTAGAGTGTAGTGATGCCATCTTGGCTCACTGCAACCTCTGCCTCCCATTTTCAAGTGATTCTCCTGCCTCAGCCTCCCAAGTAGCTGGTACTTCAGGCACCCGCCATCACACCTGGCTAATTTTTGTACTTTTAGTAGAGATGGGGTTTTACCATATGGGCCAGGTTGGTCTTGAACTCCTGACCTTGTGATCCACCCACCTCGGCCTCCCAAAGTGCTGGGATTACACAGGCCTCTGGGCCTGGCCCCACATTGCCTTAATTGACAAGCGTCACGACCCAGACAGTTCTTAGTCATTGAAATCTGTTTCTCTTCTCCTTATCCACTGGCTGCCTCGGATTTGTCAGCTGGGAAGCAGACTACCAGAGCAGTTCACAGCACGGGCCTCGGAGCCAGACAGATCTCACTTTAAAGCCAGGCTCTTCCACTTAGTGCCTCTATGGACCTCAGTTTCCTTGTCTATAAAATGGGTCTAATACTGGACTCTGCCTCATCATTTGATAAGAAGATTACATGCATTCATACATATAAAGCGTTTAGAACAGGGCCTGGAACCTGGCACCTTTCCAAAGGTATTAGCTCTTCTTGCTATGGGTCAAAAAATAAGATTATGTAGGAAAAGTGTTTACAACATGGTAGATACCCACCCAGTTCTAATTTTGGTTTCATCTCATCATCATTGTTCATCAGAAATTTAGCTGAAGGAATGAAAGGGCATAACATGTAATGAGTATGTTTGATCAACTAGGCATTGAGTAGAGAAGAAGCTGAAGCTGAGGGCTGTTTTCTGGGAACTGCATTTCCCTGTCCACCTACGCTGCTGCTCCTGTGCTGACTAAGCAATCCCAGAGATTAAATTGTGTTTCGGGGTCTGGGTGTGGTGGCTCACGCCTGTAATCCCAGCACTTGGGGACGCCAAGGCGGGCAGATCACCTGAGGTCAGGAGTTCGAGACCAGCCTGCCAACATGGTAAAACCCTTTCTCTACTAAAAATACAAAAATTAGCTGGGCATGGTGGGGTGCACCTGTAATTCCAGCTACTCAGGAGGCTGAAGCAGGAGAATCACTTGAACCCAGGAGGCGGAGTTTGCAGTGAGCCGAGATCACACCACTGCACTCCAGCCTGGGCAACAGAGCAACACTCTGTCTCAAAAACTAAGTAAGTAAATAAACAAAAATTGTGTTTCAGCTGGTGCAGTTGATTTGGGCCAATCCATTCTCTGCTCCTTCAACTCCAACGGCCAGTAACTTGTATTTTTTGGTAACTTCTTTATTAATTTGCATACCATACGATCCTTCCTTTTAAAGTATAGAGTTCAATGCTTTTTTCCACGGAGTTGTGTAACTATCACCACAACCAATTGTACCACACTTTTATCACCCCAAAAACCCCACAGCCTTTAGCAGTCACCCCATCCCCCAGGCTCCTTCAAATAACATGTATCTCTGAACCTTTCTCATGTCATTTTGAGACCATCTATGGGTCTTTAGCCTACAGAACACACACCTTGTGCATCTGGCCTCGTTAGGACCTCACTCCCACAGAGCAGCTCAACTTCTCTTTACCAAAGCCTACTCCCGCGGGTACTCCTAGGGGAAACTACTCATCTCGGCAGTCAGGATAACTTCATCTCTGTCTTTCCCATTTAAAAAAAAAGTATATCAGAATACAAATCAGTAAGAGTGATGATATTTTAGAACCGACTTTTAAAAAGGAAAATTATTCTCAATATCTGGTATGACTCCTTGTACCCAATTACCCACCTTACAAGCGACTAGGTAATCCAGCATATCATTATGCTGTGGCTAAGGACAGTTGATCTCAAGTGTGGCTGCTCTTCTGCCCTTGGTTTGAGATGAGTTCTCTGAAAGATCACCTCAGGCAGGACACTTACCCTGCCTTCCAGATCAACCACAGAGCCCCAGCAATCACAGGGCCCCAGATGTCCCAGCCGGAGCTCCCTTATTGCTGCCAACATGCTGACTCGGTAAAAATGCATTAAGCACTTTCTTTTAATTGGCAAACAATAATTATATATATTTATAGGGATAACACCAATTTTGTATGCAGTATTGTATTAATGGAGCGAGGCATACAGTACAAACAGGATATAGTGTGACTCTCAAAAATGTCTATCTCTAACTATGTAATATTAGTTAAAAAGTGATTGGTATATAAAAAGGGGAAAAGCAATTGTTGGGCTTTGAAGATTTGAAAGATCACTTCTATAACAGACCCTGGAACCACCAGTGACAATGGTTACAAGAGACTGCTCCCAAATCCAAGACGTCCTCTTCAGCTTCCCTCCCCATCACTTACCTCTGGACCCTTTAATGGAGCCATCACCTCCCTGAGGACACAGATCAAGTTTTACTCCCTTCTACGCGTCTTTCAGCATCTAACGCAGGCCCGCCATTGTGGGTACCCTGGAAAGCTGCTAAATGAATAATGAGGACATACATGTTTAAAGATGACATTCAGCAAGCTACTACTAAATGCCTTTTGACGATAATTACATTTTTTACAGGTAGTGGGGATGGGGTGAGAGAGAGTGACACTGACATAAATAAAACTCTATTTTTTCTTGTTCTCCTCAGAGTGGAGATGACTCCTCAGAAGAGGAAGAAGGGGAAGTGGATAGTGAAGTTGAATTTCCACGAAGACAGAGGTAAAACCAACAAATGCACACGATGGCTTTTAGTGGAGTGGGGAAAAACCCTAAGTTTGCCACACCTGCTCTTCAACCACAGGTCATTCCCCGGCAGCCACCGCCGGGGAACTTGGAACTCCCTGTGTTCATGTTTCCCTGTTGCCACCTTTTGGCAATTGTCCGTGCACAGCAGATCCTAGTTCATCAGCATTTATTTATTTTTTTTTTTTTTTTTTTTTTTTTTTTTTTTGAGACGGAGTTTCGCTCTTGTCACCCAGGCTGGAGTGCAATGGCACGGTCTCGGCTCACCGCAACCTCCGCCTCCTGGGTTCAGGCAATTCTCCTGCCTCAGCCTCCTGAGTAGCTGGGATTACAGGCACACGCCACCATGCCCAGCTAATTTTTTGTATTTTTAGTAGAGACGGGGTTTCACCATGTTGACCAGGATGGTCTCGATCTCTTGACCTCGTGATCCACCCGCCTCGGCCTCCCAAAGTGCTGGGATTACAGGCTTGAGCCACCGCGCCCGGCTCATCAGCATTTATTTTACAGCAACCTCACGATGAGGAGCTCATAGATTTGAGGCTACAATTGAGAATACGGTGGGCCATTTGCGACAGATGGCCACGCTGTTTTATGGGTAATTGTATTGGTTTCTAGTGTGCCTCCTGTGTTTGTCTGCTCGGGCTTCTGTAACACAAACTGGATGCTTAAACAACAGAAATTTATTTCTCACAATTCTGGAGCTGGGGAAGTTCAAGATCAAGGTTCTAGCTTACTTAGTCCCTGATGAAGGCTCTCATCCTGGCTTGCAGACAGCCACCTTCTTGCCGTTTCCCCACATGGCAGAGAGAGATCTTCCTCCTTTTAAAAGGTCACAGTCTTATTGGATTAGGCCCCCACTCTTATGACCTCGTTTAACATTAATTACCTCCTAAAGATTCTATCTAGAGGGTCTATCTAGATACAGTTAGATTGGAGGTTAGAGCTTCAACTGATGGATTTGGGAGGAAGACAATTCAGTCCAGAGCATTCCCTATGCCTTAGATTTTATACCTCAAGTTAAACGTGATTAGATAAGTTGAGTCCACCTTCAACCCAGCCTTAGAAATAGCTTCTTGCTTAGTTAGCGATAATAATATTCCTGGTAGGAGTAAATAAGGGCCATTTCCCCTCACTTCTAGAACAAAAGCTGCCCCTAATGTAGAGGAGAAGATAGTTTCCCTACTAGGAGGTCTTTTCTGCCAATAGACATTCTGTTCTTGAAGAGTAATGCTCTAAGAGTCTCCCCAGGAAGGTATGTGTATCTGCCCCAAGACAGGAATTCCCTACAAACCAAAGGACTCCTGGCCCTTTGATAAATTATATTCTGGATCCCCACATTATGCACAAAATTGAAATCTGTTCTCATTCTCTGCTATTCCTGGGCTCTTGGTGGCCTCTTCTTATATATCCCTGATCTGTCCCGCTGACCCCCCACCAACTCTCACCTCATCACCTGGCCTGGGCATCAGCCAGGCCTAGGCCATATGGCATAAAATCTCTTTGTACTAGGCCGGGAGCTGTGGCTCATGCCTGTAATCCCAGCACTTTGGGAGGCTGAGGCAGGTGGATCACCTGAGGTCAGGAGTTCAAGACCAGCCTGGCCAACATGGCCAAATCCTGTCACTACTAAAAATACAAAAATTAGGCCGGGTGCGGTGGCTCAAGCCTGTAATCCCAGCACTTTGGGAGGCCAAGGCGGGTGGATCATGAGGTCAAGAGATCGAGACCATCCTGGTCAACATGGTGAAACCCCGTCTCTACTAAAAATACAAAAAATTAGCTGGGCATGGTAGCGTGTGCCTGTAATCCCAGCTACTCAGAAGGCTGAGGCAGGAGAATTGCTTGAACCAGGGAGGCAGAGGTTGCAATGAGCCGAATAGTGCTACTGTACTCCAGCCTGGGCAATAAGAGTGAGACTCTGTCTCAAAAAAAAAAAAAAAAAAAAAGTCTTTGTACTAAGAAATACAGAAAGATCAGACACTGGCAAAAGAAAAAGGCAGTCTTTATTTGTTTTGTTATATTTTTTAAACCATTGTAAGCTAATATTCTTATTTACTAAGCTGCTTGTAAACAATGGGAAGGAACTGAGGAACTTTTGTAAATTATCTCCCCAGAAGCTTTGGCTTACCAGAGCTAAACCTAGATGTTAACTAGGTTAGCTAACATTTAGTTTCATTTAGGCATGAGGTCCTAACTGCCTGGGCAGTACCCACAGCTGCAGAGTGAATGTTCCTTCCAAGCTCATTTCTGTTGGAGGTTGGTCAACAGGGGCAGTGAAGGCACTTGGGCCTCCAGGGCCACCAGGCCCAATGGACACTGGACTCTGTGAAATGAAGCTGGGGTGGATTGATGGGGAGGTGAGGGATGGGAGTTAGAGAAGGACACTGATCAAAGTGTGTGTAGACCCAGCCCAAGCCTCAGCTCTGCCTTTTCTGATGGAGTGGCCTTAACCAGGTCACTGCCCTTCTCTGGCTCCAGTTTTCTCATGTGGGAAATGGGTTAGTCCAGAGACTCTGCAAAGTCTTTTTCACCTGTGAGAATCTATAACTCCCTAAATAAGGGGCATAATTTCAGTTTGGACATTTCCATACTGCACATACCTGTACATAATGTTATTAGACAAGCTGATTGTTTTCAGACCATTCATAGCCATCACTTGGAGCATAGTGTTTATCACATAAATATATAAACCAAATAAAAGGGGAAATTAAAATTTCCTTCTTGTGTTAGTCACCTCAGGCTGCCATAACAGAATACTCCAAATTGGATGGCTTAAACAACAAGAGTTTATTTCTCATGTTCTGGAGCTGGGGAAGTCCATGATCAAGGTGTTAGCAGATTCCATTTCTGGTGAGGGCTCTCTTCCTGGCTTGCAGACAGCCACCTTCTGCTTCCTCACCTGGTCTTTGCCCTGCATATGCATACTGAAAGACAGAGCGAGGAATGGAGATAATCTCTTCCTCTTCCTATAAGGCCACCAATCCTATCTGATTAGGACCCCACCCTTATGACTTCATTTAACTTTGTTCACCTCCTAAAAGCCTGATCTTCACATACAGTTGCACTGAGTATTAGGGCTTCAACACAGAATTTCATGGGAGATAAAAATTCAGTCCATTGTTTTAGCGTTAAAAGTTCAATAGTTTCTACCTATCTTTTTAGGCCTCCTCAATGGTAGGAAAAAAACCTAGATGATCTCTACCAACACGAGTGGCAGATAAGGAAAGGAAAGTAGTCGTTCCCGTGATTAAGTTCTCCTGGTTCTTCTGGTTCTAGGCCCCATCGCTGTATCAGCAGCTGCCAGTCATATTCAACCTTTAGCTCTGAGAATTTCTCTGTGTCTGATGGAGAGGAGGGAAATACCAGTGACCACTCCAACAGTCCTGATGAGTTAGCTGATAAACTTGAAGACCGCTTGGCAGAGAAGCTAGACGACCTGCTGTCCCAGACGCCGGAGATTCCCATTGACATATCCTCACACTCAGATGGGCTCTCTGACAAGGAGTGTGCCGTGCGCCGTGTGAAGACTCAGATGTCTCTGGGCAAGCTGTGTGTGGAGGAACGTGGCTATGAGGTGGGGGCTTCTCCCTTCTCCTCCATCACTATTTCCTTTTTTGCTCTTTGGGGTTCAAGTCTGCAGAGCCTTTACAATTTTCATTTAGTAATAAGATACAACAACCTTGTATTAGTCTGTTCTCACAATGCTATAAGGAACTACCTGAGACTGGGTAATTCATGAAGAAAAGAGGTTTAATTGACTCACAGTTCCACAGGCTGTACAGGAAGCATGGCTGGGAGGCCTCAGGAAGCACAGTCATGGTAGAAGGTGAAGTCATGGTTAGATGTGAAGCAAGCATGTCTTCTTCACATGGCGGCAGGAGAGAGAAAGCGAAGGGGGAAGTGGCTCCCACCTTGAAACCGTCAGATCTCGTGAGAACTCACTTGCTATCATGAGAATAGCAAGGGGAAAATCTGCCCCCATGATCCAGTGACCTCCCAGCAGGTGCCTTCCTCAACACTGGGAATTATAATTCAACATGAGAGTTGGGTAGGGTCACAGAGCCAAGCCATATCAGGCCTCCAAAAAGTAGAAGTACAGAGATCAACAGAGCTCCCAGAAAGTAGGGCAGTTTCTCTGAAATGACACACACACACATTGAACTGCTCAGGAAACCTTCATGTCAAGATTTAACTCAAAAATCACCTCTTCCCACTCCCATTTCCCAACATGGTTAAAGGTCTGAGGTTAGGTCAGGTGCGGTAGATTACGCCTGTAATCCCGGCACTTTGGGAGGCTGAGGCAGGAAGATCACTCTAGGGTCAGGAGTTTAAGATCAGTCTGGGCAACATAGCAAGACCTCACTTCTACAAAAAAAAATTTTATTAGCTGAGTGTGATGATACATCACTGCAGTCCCAGCTACTGGGGAGGCTGAGGCAGGAGGATCTCTTGAGCCCAGGAGTTTGAGGCTGCAGTGAGCTATGATCAAACCACTGCACCCTAGCCTGAGCAACAGTGAGACCCTGCCTCTGAAAAAAAAAAATTTTTTTTTAAGGTCTGAACCTTCCCTCTCCAGATCCTGACTCTTCCCTGGATGGTGCCATCATAGCACAGATAGCACTTTCTTTCATGTTCAGTACTGCCTTTGGAGAGGCAGGCTAGCATAGTGGCTGTAAGTATGTACCCTGGAATCCGACTGCCTGAATGCAAATCATAGCATTCCACTTACTATGGGACCCTGGCAAGCCACTTAACCTCTCTGTAAAATGGGGATAATAATAGCGTCTGCCTCATAGGGTTATCATGAGGACTAAATGGATTAACAGATGTATTAATAACGTACTTACAACAGTGCGTGGGGCATAGAAAGCACGATATAAGTGGTGGTCTGGTAGGCACTGTTGTTACTGTCACAGCCGTCATCATCATCATCTTCATGTGTCTTCTTTCTCCATAAGCCCCACAAGGACAGGACCTGGTCTCATTCATCTCTATAGCCCCCTTACCAAGCGCAGTGCCTGCTGTGTGGGAGGTGTTTGATATCTATTTACGGGGTGATTCTAGAAATGAATTAAGGTTTTATTTTGTCTTGCCTCTGCAGAATCCTTTGCAGTTTGAAGAACTGGACTGTGACTCTTCAGATGGGGAGTGTTCTGATGCCACAGTTAGGACCAATAAACCCTACAGCTCTGCTACCTGGTAACAAAGGAACACGCATCCTGAAGATCTCGTGACTATACTGGCATTTCAGATCCACCCCACCCTCAGACTTGTCCCACTCTCTCCCAGCATTTTGTCTGGGAAGAGAGACTGCCCCACCTTGACCACCCCTAGAAATGAGCTGCAATAACAGGAACATGAGACTTGGCAAATCTCTGGAATATAATATCCAAATGAAATTGAGTCTCACTGAACATTTCAATCAAGAATGGCAGGGATCTATTTTATTGAATATTCTAGCTACTGTAACATTGATATTTATTTTTGTTTGACATTTTAACACTTTGTACTGTAAAGAGTGAACTATATATGAGATAGAGAGAGATACAATAATTTCTTGCAGAAAAAAAGAGATAAAAAGAAAAGAACAGGAAAAAAAGAAATAAGTGGAATTTAGGAGCAACATCCTTGGGAATTTGTGGGGCCGGGAGGTATTACTGCTGCTTGAACAGGGGACCAGGTCTTTTGGCCGTACATGACTCAAGAAGAGCCAGAGCAAGACACTGAACATTTTAGAACACGGAGCAGCAAAAGAAAAGCAATTCCAGGCAGCTTGGGAAGAGACCGTATTCACTGCAACCAGCTTGTCCAGGTGGGTTATGGAAATCACTAGAAAAGTCTGGTGACCAGATACTCGCACCCAAGGTCTTCGAGGGCATGTGCTCCTCCTGGAAGGGAAAAACAAACCAACCTGTATCTGTGGAAGCTGGTTTCGTTTTTAGAGGTTTAAGCAGCAGTTGGTAGTGAGGTTTACAGATAGTGTCAAATCTTGTTTTTGGCAAATACGTCCCTATTTAGTGCTGTCACTGTCATTGCCTTGGCAAATGTGCTACCTTGACCCAATGTGTTGATCCTTCATCCTCAAGTGCCATTGCCTTGTAGCAGCTTACTTCCTTGCTGCCTGCTGCCCACTTCCTGCGCAACAGAGGTTGGGGGGCAGTAGTGAGGAGGAGAAAAGGGTAAGAGAGGAAGAACATCTCCAACAGTGTTAGGAAAGCGAGCGTGGAATTTATAAAACTGCATCTCAGGACGACTCAGTTCAGCTACATGGAGAAGATGGAATCACCCCTCTCTGGAACCAGGTTGCTTGTCCACTTGAGTCATATTGATTCAAGCAGGAGAACAGACTTTGAAGGTAGCTGGAATGTGTGTGTGTCTATCCAGTGTCCAAGCCCAAACCACCCTTGTTTTTATTCACTAACTCATTCTATCTTAGAAGTTTTTGTTTGTTTGTTTTTGTTGTTGCTGCTGCTGCTGTTGTTCTGAGACAGAGTTTTGCTCTTTTTGCCCCGGCTAGAGTGCAATGGCACGATCTTAGCTCACTGCAACCTCCCCCTCCCAGGTTCAAGTGATTCTCCTGCCGCAGCCTCCCGAGTTGCTGGGATTACAGGCGCCTGTCACCACGCCTGGCTTATTTTTGTATTTTTAGTAAAGATGGAATTTCACCATGTTGGCCAGGCTTGTCTCAAACTCCTGACCTCAGGTGATCCACCTGCCTTGGCCTCCCAAAGTGCTGGGATTACAGCGCCCGGCCACAGCACCTGGCCTATCTAAAAAGTCTTAATGACTGGCTACCACTGTCAGAATAAAGGCAAAAACAAGCAACTTGCAAAAGGCAGCTCCTCACCCAGCACAATAGCATTTTTGTTCAATAAATAACTGGATTTGGACATTTGTGGAAAGAACAAGTGACGCTGAGCAGGGATAGGAAAGATTTTTACATCACCAAAAGCATGAGATCCTGCCTGGCTCCGGGGTAGTGGGCTCGGAAAAGCATTCCAGGGTGCCTCATGGTGCCTTGGCCTTGAGGAAAATTTTACTTAGAATTTTATGTACAAATAGATGTTGACCTAGTACCAGTCCCTGTCTCCAAGATAGATTACTGTCAAAAAACCTCTCTAGATTCGCTAGACTCTTTGACATTGCATCACGTTGAATCTTACGAAATACTTGCACAGCCAGCTGTTAAACCATTTCCAATGCACATGAAAATGTTGCCCCTCCTCTGGGTTTCACTGACTATATCAGCCAAAAAGGAAAGGCAGGAGGGAATTTCGAGTTCCTTTTGCTTGTTTGAGCCCTCCATTTGTTTACACTTTATATTGATACATTGATTTAAAATGTAGTATCTATGATTTATAGCTCTTAGGTAGGATGAAGGAAAATGTTTAATTTATACAGAGGACAGTATTGTTTGCATTAAATTATTCCATTTTGTAAAATTCTGTAGCTGGACTACACAAACGACCTTAAGTTATGGCATTATTATCATTGTTATTTTATTTTATAATATTCTCATTCTCATTTTCTGTCGATCAGAAGGTGTGATTTATGATGTAGCACAATGACTGTGTTTATTGCTAACCAGGAATGATTATGGATTTTATTATTTTAATGAAGGAATGAAAATGGAACTGCCATTTGGGAGCTCCCTGGTGTTGATCTTAGCTGTGTTCCCTAATTTTCTGTGTACAACAATCATCTGAGGATGCATGTTCTGCCCTGAAGCCCAATGGATACATTGTGATGTTGACTTGATCATGAAAGGTCCTGCGTGGGCCGATGGCCCCCAGGATGTCAAATAGTGGATGGACATATAGTTCAAAAGCTGTAAACTTTCTCAAGTTTCTTAGGAAATAAAATCATGGGACTATATTAGAAATTAAAAGAGAATTATTTAATGTCCTGAGAGGAACAGACATAGAGGGCTGATGGATTCATTTCACGAACTGACAACATAGTTTGCAGTCTCCTTCCTGCCAGGCCCCTTTATCCTCCTAGTTGGGAGGAGCAGGGAGACTGAAAAATGAAATGGTATACAGTAGTCCCCTCTTATCCACAGCTTCGCCTTTCATGGTTTCAGTTATGCTCAACTGCAGTCCAAAAATATTTGATGGAAACTTCCAGAAATCACTCCTAAGTTTTAAACTGCACGCCAGTCTGAGGAGCACGATGAGATCTTGCCCCTTCCTACCCTGGATGTGATCCTGCCTCTGTCCAGCACATTCATGCTGCTCGTCCATTAGTCACTCAGCAGCAGTCTCGGTTTTCAGATCAACTGTCTCGGTATCACAGTGCTTATGTTCAAGTTCCCTTATTTAATTACTAACAGCCCCAAAGGGGAAGAGTGCTGTGCCTAATGTACAAATGAAATTTTATCACAGATATGCAAGTATAGAAAAAAAAGGAGTATATATAGGGTTTGGTACTATCAGGGTTTTTAGGCATCCACTGGGGAACATATCCCCCACAGATAAGGGAGGACTACTGTATATACGTGTAGGGTATGACAGAAAATGCCTAGCTGTGATGTCATCCTAGAACAAGGCTAAAGAACTTTAAGGAGGAGGCTTGCTCACTTAGAGGACCAAGGGCTGGAAAAATATCTTGAAAGGCCGTATTTTCCATCCTCTGACTTCAGATCACATCGTACTGTAAATCTCTTATTCATTATCCCTTGGAACAGAGATGCTACAACTCTATGTCTTCTTTCTGTCCAACATAAAACACTGACACTTTTATGCAATTCCTGCCCACCTTTGGTGGCAACAGAGAAACATGAGGGTCAGCTTCTATCTTACATCTTTCGGTGATGGTCTTCCTAGAAAACCTACACTGATACCTCATAATTTTGATCAGTTTTTTTGAATTCTCTTCTTGATTATCTGTTACGCTATTGTCATACACCTTATCTGGATTAACTGTTATGGTAGGGTAGTAGGTAGCGGCTGAATATCAGTCATTCATTGTATAGTCAAGAGTTGAATAAAGTCCATATTGGACACATTTTGATAAGTAGAATTGACTAGAGGTTTCAGAGAAGAATGATATCCTTACTGGAGGTTAAAAAGGAAAATACTAGTCCTTTGCTTGCCCGCCTTGTGATAACCAGGAAAATCTTGAATTTATGTATGTTTCTTGGAGAACGACTGCACAGTCATCTGAAGAGTGTTGAATCGAGAGCTCAGGGAAGTTACGAGCTATTCTTCAGTCCTGACAAGTGTGTTACAACAGTGCTTCCAGGAATCTCCTAAGCCTATGGTTTCAAGCTGCTTCATTGATGGAAAGTTTAAGCATCTTGGGATGAATGTTCATGTACAGTTAACATCTGTTTTTGACTGACTGCAAGATGATGACTTAATTTAGATTGCAGATGAGCATTTGGTTTTGATTTCCATCTATTTCTAGATCATATCCTCTGGGTAACAATTCCTCTTAAAATTGCTTTGCAGAGGGACGGAGAAGCCTGCATCTACTTTGAAATTATAATGGACCTTACCGCCACTTAAGTTTAGACTTGTTTGCAAGATGGTGGGAGGCGCCTACTTAGAAAGATGAAGATGCTAGCTCTTATTCTAAGCTAGCATCTTCGTCTCGCTAGTGGAAGTTAAGATACTGTATTTTAAAATGTGGATGTCAACAAATCAATCCTTTTAGAATTAAAGAGATTTTGAGTAGGATTTATAAGTACTGGACATCTACTGTAGAGCTTCGTCATGCTAAATTATTCCCCTCTCCTTGTCTATAAGTAATAGATGTGCTGGTTTGGGGTTTTCCTGGCGCCAACCCACTTTTTTTTTTGAGGCAGGATCTCACTCTGTCACCAGGTTGGAATGCAGTGGGATGATCATGGCTTACCTCAGCCTCCCGAGTAGCTGGAAGCACAGACGTGTGCCACCATGCCCAGTTTTGTTTTGTTTTCTGTAGAGATGGGGGTTTCCCTATGTTGCCCAGGCTGGCCTCGAACTCTGGGTTCTAGCAATCCTCCTGCTTTGGCCTCCCGTATGTTTCCTACTGAGCCTAGACACAGCCTCAGAACCTCTCAACATGTCACTTGGAGCAACAATTGCCACTTGATTGGAATTGCCATTTGAGCTTGAGTTAGTCCCAATGGGAGAACGACAGGCTTGCACCAGTGTTCTCTTATGGATTCACCTGTGGCTGTCAGGGGCGGTACCAGTGAAAGGGGAAAGGCACTTGGCTCTACCCACGGCCCTTTTGGATGACAATTCCAATGGAAGGAACAGCAACCACTGATGGATCCAATTCCAAAATGTCTCTTCATTCACATCATTCAATTCTGTTGAATAAATATGTTCCTTCCTCACCTTTTATAAACAGGAAGTTCATATAAGCCCCAGTTACTTGCTTCTTTGACTCTGTGAGACTAATATACCAAAACAATGTGACACCCTTTTCGAGACTTTGACTTGTACTGTCACTATGAATTTAGTACCTTTCCAGGCAGCAAAATGTTTCTTCTTTGCTGATTTCATAGGACAAACGGCCCAACATACTCACACACCCAGTGTTAGCAACCTCGCAGACTGGCACATTAGAATCATATTAATCTGCCTGTTTGCATGTTACAACTGATACTGCAAATGCCTATTCAAGTTGGACTGAACTAGGCTAAGCGGAGGACCTTTGTGGAACCTGGTGCATTTCTCAGGGACAGGTGACTAAAGAGGGGAGCTCTGACTTCACTGCTCTGAGAAACAGAAGGTGGGTATGATGACGTGGCCAGGGTATGATGGCAGGAATTCACAGAGCCAAGCCCTAAGCAGATGGCAAGGCCACTGTAAGGAAGCTCCTGGCAGCATCCCAGCTCTGCCCTCCAGAGCCACTTCACAGCACTCAGGGGATCGCTGGCTCCTGGCCCCAGGCTGCTATCCAGTGACCAGGTGGACAGGGTCCTCCAGTGACTGCAGGCCAGAGGGAACCCCAGCCAGCACGTGCAAGCTGTTGGGAAGATGTCCCGTCTTGGCCGTATCACCCCAGTGGCTCTTCACTCCCGAGTGACCACTTCCCAGACTCTGGAAGTGGGAAGACCTTCTTTGATGCTTTATTACAATAATTTGAGCTCCTACCGATTTGGAGTAAATGAATTTCTCTTTTGTGGTTAAGTCTCCAAATGAACTCCCTTACCTGCCCCCGCTCCGGTCTCCTGTACTGTCAGTCCCCAGCTCCCAGTGTCTCTGATGCCGGCTCCCTCTCTGCGTTGAACAGCAATGGGAACAAGAACGACTATCAAAGCAAACAAACGCATGGAATTAAAAAATGTACTTCACTGTTTTCTAGTCCTGTCTTTTTCTAAATGTACTGTTTGTGTCTTGAGAGCTGCCTTAACAATCTCAGCATTTGTCAGAACTTGAGGGAAAGGAAGACTTTACGTGACTGGGTTCCGGCAGCCACGAGAAACAGGTAACGGAAAAAGCTACTTTCTGTGGTTCCTGTATCTGACACAGCCACAAAAGGCAGAGGCAATCCTTTTTATTTGGCGACCGCCTCTTGAGTATTCTGTAAAGGCTAGGCCAGCACTCTGCTTCTTCCCTGTGCCTTTCTGCTGCTCATCTAGTAGCTATTCCTGTTACTAGTGACCACATACAGGGAGCAGAGAGAGAAAAAGAAGATGAAAACCTGGTTTCCAAGGAATTATTTTGGTAAGAAGCATACTGAAAGTGGAAAGCTTAAAGCACCATTTTGGACTGTCCAATCTTCAGCCAAGCCTAACTCCCACTGGCGAGGGAAGTTGAAAGTTAGCAACATGTTCAAACAAGCACCACGTAGAACACTTATAGCCATTTGGGATATTTATTTGGGAAATTGCTTTGCCTGTAAACTCACAACTGATAAGGCACATGATTGCAAAATCGTCGGGGTAGAGGGAGACAAATCTAAGGATCCTGAAAAGGGGTAAAGGGCACACAGCCGCGATGATGTGGGAACTGTCTTTCTCCTCCCTTCGCCCTGCTCCAGGACACGACGGGCCACAGTCTTCCAAATCTGCTGCCTCCTACCCCCACTCTCATTATCAAGGCTTCTTTTAAAGAAACGCGTTTTAAAAAGTGAAATCCTTGGTGTGAAAGGATCATACCATAGCCAGCAACATCACCTGGGAATCCATCTTGAACAAGAGGCCTAGATTAAAGTCTTGGCAAGACTCTTGGCCAAGCCAAATCATCAGCCCGGCAGATGAAATCCAAGAGCAACAGTCTGGTAAGTCCTGATGAGTGACTCCTGTGGGATCAGGACCACAGGGCTGGTCAGTTCAGGTGCCAAGGTCCTTCCTTCTGTCTTTGGAAGCATTAATCCAGTCTGTGCCAATTCTGTAGTGCGGCTAGAGGAAGTAATGACGGCTATAGGCAATGAAGATACAACACAACAACGTTATCAGAAACCAAGGTTTCCTCTTTAAAAAATACGATTATTCTTTAGTTACTGTCAGCAAATAAAAAATGAAAAACATTCAGAGGGCATACTGCCTGAGGGCTCCATATACTGAACCCATTCTCTGAGCATGACACAGAAGGAATTCCTGCAGAAAGGACAGATAAGAACATGTTTACCTGCTCATCTGATTCAGGGGAGTCAAGGGCCCTGCCCCATCCAGATGGATAAGAATTTCGCCAGAACATATCCATAACTCCATTCATATTTAATAGTCTGTAATCAGTTTAACAGTCAGGACATGCAACCATAAGGAGGTGTGACATACATGGTAACATCAGTGTCTGAACACGAGCATGACAGAAATCACGTATGTGAGCAACACATGGAAGTCCTAGGCAGTTCATCAGCTTGTTTCAGCTTGTTTCAGCTTGGCGTATGAAGAGGTAGGTCATCAGCAAGAGAGTACAAAAGAAACACTCCTCAAGAGACTAACAAGACGAAGAGCGACGTCAGTGACGTGGGTTCCCATGTCCTCATCGGAACGAAACATCCACAAAGATGCAAAAGGAGGGCATCTGTCACAGCAGCCTGTCACTCTGCAAAAGAGGTATTCTGGACAAGGACAATCAGCATCTTCTCCCAATGCAGCTCAGGGGCTGGCATGAGGGAAACATAACAGGCTATCCCGAGCTCCTTGGTAGACCACAAAATACAAACAGCATTTTCTTTCTTTTTTTTTTTTTGCTTTTTTTGTTGAGATGGAGTCTCACCCTATCACCCGGACTGGAGTGCAGTGGCGCCATCTCGGTTCACTGCAACCTCCACCACCCAGGTTCAAGCGATTCTCCTGCCTCGGCCTCCCAGAGTGCTGGGATTACAGGCGTGAGCCTCCGTGCCCAGCCACAAACAGCATTTTCTAGGAGGCATCCATTTGTAGTGTCTGCTACACCAGGGCTGGTCTGAAAAGCTAATATAACACACCTTCAAGAGCAGAGTGTCCTTTATGACCAGACACCGCACATCGATGCAGTGTCCACGTCACTTACTGAAGGCAATTAAAAACAGTGAAGGGCTTTAGAGGACCACACCCGTTACACAAACAAGCAACTGAGTCCAGAGAGACGTGGCAAACAGAAAATCCAGATCACGTGTCTTTTCTACTATGCATATGATCAGCAATGCTTGTTTCATTCAATTGCAGATGTTTCTGACTAAACTTTTTAATGAGTGTTCCAGGAATTAATGCCACCATGGCAATAGCCAACAGCTTAAAGACAGTGTCCCAGGAGAAAAGAGCATCCAGAGAGCTTAGGGTTGACAGGATGGAGCCTGTCTGCACACAGATGAAATTGTATGGGATCAAACCTGGAAGAAGAAAAAGGGAAAGTACCTGTTACTAGCAGCAGCAAAATTAAGAAAATTCTAATTCAGAAATGTCACCAGGAACAGTGAGTAGTTTTTTTGCCTGACTCTTGACCCTTACACATATTAACTCTTCCCCTTCTTTCCTTCTTTTCTCTTCTCTTCCCTCCTTTCCTCACTTCCCATATATACCTCTCTTACTCAACAAAAGAACTGGAGACTTTTACACAAATAATACCTGCTACTATAAGATAATTTTACAATAGGGCCAGGAACAGTGGCTCATGCCTGTAATTTCAGCACTTTGGGTGGATCACCTGAAGTCAGGAGTTCAAGACCAGCCTGGCCAACATGGTGAAACCCCGTCTTTACTAAAAACACAAAAATTAGCCAGGCAAGATGGCGTGTGTAAGCCCAGCACTTTGGGAGGCCAAGGTGGATCCCCTGAGGTCAGGAGTTCAAGACCAGCCTGGCCAACATGGTGAAACCCTGTCTCTACTAAAATCACAAAAATCAGCCAGGCGTGGTGGCGAGTGCCTATAATCTCAGTTACTTGGGAGGCTGAGGCAGAAGAATTACTGGAGCCTGGGAAGCGGAGGTTGTAGTGAGCCAAGATCTCACCACTGCAATTCAGCCCAGGTGACAGAGCTAGACTCTTCTCAAGAAAAAAAACTGATAGGAAAAATAGGAAAAGCAAAATGCTTACAAAAGAATATAAGACATCAGGGAATATAGTTAGTAGAAAAATGTATAAGGTTCGCTAAAAGTGGGCCCCAAATTTGGTTCTGAGCACCCAGCAGCCAAAGTAAAGAGAGAAGTGCTGTTGTTGAGATTTGCAGTATGCATAAGATTAAAAACAGGTTTTTAAAAGATGTACTATTCACATGCTGCACTGTCTCAAAGAGGTCATCAAATCCCCTGGATCCCAAAAGTCTGACTGGCTGAACAGGCTGGCTGCAGAACAATCAGCAGGTGACACTGTTATAAACCACATCCCTGGGCTCCACCCAGAAACTCTGGTTACTTGGCTCTGGGGTAGTACCCAGGAACCTGTATTCTAAAAGTCCCTTCTCCACTCCCACCCTGAGATTCGGATTGGTTTGGAACCCTCTAATAATCCATTCCTCTTCTATAGGAGAGGAAGTGTAAAGGAGATGAAGACCCCAGGCCCCTCAAGGTTACACAGCTTGTGACATGGGGGACAGAAACCCTGGTCTCACAATCTTGCCAAGCCTCACGCCACCTAGGTAATTAGAAGCTGCAAACCCCCACTAGCTGAGGTCCTCAGGCCGATGTGGCCAGAACTGGCTATGGTAGATCTTGCTTCTATTTAAAATCTCCATTTCTCTCAGGTATCCCCTATTAATAGCGGCCGCCCAACCACATATTTGTTCTGTTTGACCTAGAAGCCCTGAATTGTCTTTCCCTCCAGGCTCTAAGGAAGGTTAAGAGAAAGTGATCCTTGCCTTAAGCTTAAGGAGGGTGGTTTTCTTCCAGTACGGAGAAGGTAGCATCACTGATTTTACAGGATGTTAGCGCTTGACCACTCGGATAAAGGTGGTCGAGGGCCCACACTTTGAGCAACACTGCTCTAGTCCCAGCCCTGATCTGGATAAGTGGCCCATTGTGAGTAAGTGGCCTGCTAGAGGTCACACAATTGTCAAAGGCAAGGAGAAACTTTAGATATCGTCTAATTCAGCAAACTGCCACACTCAGGACCCAGCGGAATCCCTTCTAGGGACTAACTACTCATACTGAATACCTGCATCACCTGGAGAACATGAAAAGCTCCTGATCCCCGAGTCCCACCTGAGAGATGATTTAGTTCAGGCGTCCCCAAACTACGGCCCACGGGCCGCATGCGGCCCCCTGAGGCTATTTATCCGGCCCCCCACCGCACTTCAGGAAGGGGCACCTCTTTCATTGGTGGTCAGTGAGAGGAGCACAGTATGTGGCGGCCCTCCAACGGTCTGAGGGACAGTGAACTGGCCCCCTGTGTAAAAAGTTGGGGGACGCCTGATTTAGCTGATGTGTGGTATGGCCTTAGTTGAGGGATTTTTTAAATCTCCACAGGTGTTTTTTGAGGCGGGGTCTCATTCTGTCGCCCAGGCTGGAGTGAAGTGTCACACTTTCAGTTTACTGCAACCTCGGCCTCCTGGGTTCAAGTGATTCTCCTGCCCTGCCTCAGCCTCTCAAGTACCACCACACCAGGCTAATTTCTGTATTTTTAGTAGAGACAGGGTTTCACCATGTTGGCCAAGCTGGTCTTGAACTTCCGACCTCAGGTGATCCACCTTGGCCTCCCGAAGTGCTGGGATTACAGCATGAGCCACCAAGCCCGGCCTCCAGGTGATTTTTAATAGGTTTAAAGGTGATTTTTAATGGGTTTGCAGTTTGAGAACTGGATTAAAATGCATATTCCCAGACCCCACCCCCAAGATTCTAATTCAGTAGGTCTGGAGTACACCTCAAATCTCAATTCTCAACAAGCCCCGTGAGCCTGCCAATCTGATCAAAGTGGCCCAAGGCCCACACTTTGAGAAACACTACTCTCTTCCTAGCCTCTCATCTGGCCCGGTGGCCCACTAAGGGTAAGTAGCTTGCTACAGGTTGCGCAACTGTCAAAAGGCAAGATGGAACCTCACGGATGCCAGCTGTTCTAAGGCAGAACTTAATCCAAACAGGGCCCAAGAACCAGGCAGGAAGTCCCTTGCTCTGCTCCTTTCTTCTGTCCCCACTCAAAACTCATGGACACATACCCTCATTCCAACCCTGCTCTTTCTGCTGGCATTTACTGAGTACTTACTATGAGCCAAGTTATCTGCTTTACACAGACCATCACTTCTAATCCCAGTGCCCAGCACATACAGCTGTGCAATGAACAGTATTTTGTCCAAAAGTATTTTTACAGGTTTTCCTGTTGACGCCTGAGTAGATCTGAAATCAAGAATCCATTTTTCTTGGCTGGGCGCGGTGGCTTAAGCCTATAATCCCAGCACTTTGGGAGGCCGAGGCGGGTGGATCACAAGGTCAAGAGATCGAGACCAACCTTGGTCAACAAGGTGAAACCCCGTCTCTACTAAAAATACAAAAAATTAGCTGGGCATGGTGGTGCATGCCTGTAATCCCAGCTACTCAGGAGGCTGAGACAGGAGAATTGCCTGAACGCAGGAGGCGGAGGTTGCGGTGAGCCGAGATCGTGCCATTGCACTCCAGCCTGGGCAACAAGAGCGAAACTCCGTCTCAAAAAAAAAAAAAAAAAGGCCGGGCGCGGTGGCTTACGCCAGTAATCCCAGCACTTTGGGAGGCCGAGGTGGGTGGATCACAAGGTCAAGAGATCGAGACCATCCTGGTCAACATGGTGAAACCCCGTCTCTACTAAAAATACAAAAAATTAGCTGGGCATGGTGGCGCGTGCTTGTAATCCCAGCTACTCAGGAGGCTGAGGCAGAACAGCCTGAACTCAGGAGGCGGAGGTTGCGGTGAGCCAAGATCGCGCCATTGCACTCCAGCCTGGGTAACAAGAGCAAAACTCCGTCTCAAAAAAAAAAAAAAATCATTTCTTTAGATCCTAAGGTTTGAAGCCGCACTCTGTGAGCCTGTGTTCTCAGAAGCAGGCACATGCTCACATGGCCGATAACCCAGGGCAGACCCCCAACGTGACACTGTGAAGACTCAAACCTACCCCGCCAGCATCTTACCGATAAGAACTGAGAAGAAGAACTGCATGATGGGAATGTTGAGAATCGGGGCCGAGAGGTTCAGGAACCAGTTTGGTGTCATGGGGAAAAGTCTCAAAAACAGTAAGAAAAAAAACAAGCTGTTTCTGTTCTCCTCCACCTGTAGCCAAAGAGGACAAAGCTATTAAGAAGCAGACGGGGTCTCCAGGTATTGAAAGCCTGCCGGTGCCAGGCACTGTTCTAGACACTTTACATAATCTGTTCCCAATTCTTCCAGCAACCTCCAGGGAGAGACTGTTTTCCTCATTTTAAAAATGGAGGTGCTGAGGATCAGAGAAGTCGGGAGCTTGCCCGAAGTCCCAGAGCTGGTTATGATGGAGCTGGGATTTGATCCCTGGTCTATGTCTCCTGAAGACATCAAAAGAGCCCCTAGGGTCTCCTGAGATGGCATGGAAGAGCACTGTGGGAAATCCCCGCTACGTGCTGCTTTCAAGGCCATGCCTGTGGTGACTCTCTGGGGTCCCAGCTCTCAGGGGTGACCCCTCCCCTTCTTACCTTTTTCTGCAGCAGGGCCACTTTATCAGGAAAGTAGGACACCACCAGCTGTTTGCCAAAAACACTGGAGAGCAGGTAGCAGCATGTGGCACCCACCGAGGTCAACACACAGCACAGCAGAAGCCCCAGCCATGGCCCAAACAAGGCACCAGCCAAAACATTCTGCAAAGAAAACAAACCCTCAGGCAGGTGAGCATCTAGTGGCTACCAGGCACCTTATCTTGGAGCCTGAGGAGGTTCCCTCCTCCTTCGCTGTTTCTTCCCAGCTAAAACCCAATTGCCTTTCTCTCTTCCTTTCTTCCTTTCTCCCTCCCTCTCTCCCTCTTTCTTTTTCTTCTCTCTTTCTCTCTCCTTCCTTCCTTCCCTCCCTCCCTCCCTTCTTTCCTCTCTCTCTTTCTCTCTTTCTTTCACAGGATCTCCTTCTGTCATCCAGGCTTGAGGACATTGGCATGAGCATAGCCACTGCACACTCAAACTCCTGGGCTCAAGGAATCCTCCCACCTCAGCCTCCCAAAGTGCTAGGATTACAGGCATGAGCCACTGCAAGTCCCAATTGCCATTTTAAAGAGGTGAATGAAAAATTATGAAAAGGCTGGGAACTACACCTGGCATCAGTCTCTTCACCTTGAAAATGAGGATAAGGATTAAAGCCTCAGGGGGTTAGATGGGATCTGTGGCTATGGTAGACTCTGCAGTTACTGTGGCTCCAAGTAAGTAGAAATGAAACTCACAAGTTATTTTTACTATTTCAAAAGATGAACACAAACCATGAATTTTCCCTTGGTCAGACCACACAAGCTATATAAGATGTCTTGTTTCTTTCATTTTTGCTGGAATTACATCTACATAGTATGCTAATACCAGGGGTTCCATGTTGACCAGAGCTCTAGCCAACACTTGAAGAAGTCTTGGTTTAAGAAAAATGGAAAAGCTGGCCAGACACAGTGGCTCACTCCTGTAATCCCAGTACTTTGGGAGGCCAAGGCAGGTGGATCACCTGAGGTTGGGAGTTTGAGACCAGCCTGACCAACATGGAGAAATTCCATCTCTACCAAAAATACAAAATTAGCCGGACATGGTGGCGCCTGCCTGTAATCCCAGCAGCTCGGGAGGCTGAGGCAGAATTGCTTGAACCAGGGAGGCAGGGGTTGTGGTGAGCCGACATCGCACCACTGCACTCCAGCCTGGGCAACAAGAGCGAAACTCCATCTCAAAGGAAAAAAGAAAAGAAAAATGGAAAAGTGAACCAATACTTCCTAAATGCATTCTGACTGGTAGATATCATCCTGACAAAACATGGGGTCCACGAGAGAAAGCAGGAGAAAGCCTTGGAAGTGGGAGGGTGAGGAGCCACTGAGCTCGCTGTGCTAAATGCTTGACCACATGTCCTGTGTCACCCTCACCACATCCCCGAGTCATGCCATCCTTGCCCCATTCTGCAGGTGAGAGGTTAAGTATCTTGCCCAAGATCACAGCAGGCAGAGTCAGGGTTCACCCTCAGGTCTGGATGTGGAGCCCCCACCAAGCAGCAGCTGGCTCTCTGCCCTGAAGAGGGATCAGCTCAAGACAGAAGACAGACACAGGGCAGCCTCAAGGAGTCCGCCCCTGACCCCGAGCACCACACACCTCCCCTGTCCTCTTGGACATGTCTACATTTCTCCTAGTTTCAAGGAAACTGCTTGAGCAGGTCCAGCCTCAGCCTAGAGGAAAGAAACATGCTGGGGCAGGAGAGGGAAGCAGTATATGAGGAAGCTGCCGGTGTCTCCCACTTCTGTGCTCACTCAATCCCTCAGCAGACACTGAGGGCCACTGTATGCCAGCCCCATTACACCCACTGTCAAGTTTAATCATCTCCACACAATCCCAGGAGGTTACAGGGGAGTACCCCAATTGTGCAGATAAGGAAACAGAATCGGAAGGAGGGCAGGACACTGACCAGGAAGCTGGAGCCAGGGATGGCAAAGCCCTGTTTGTAGAGGTAGGCGCTGCAGAAGAGCAGGAACACGTAGCCCTGGTGCTCCTTCCGGTATTCTCGAAGGACCTCAGAGAGCTCCCGCAGCTCTGCCAGGTCAGAGGGGAACCACAGTGACCTGCGGATTTGGAAAAGCCAATGGAAATGAGTTCAGATCAGCCCAGTGCTTACGAAACTCATTCGCTGTGTCTGCTTTTCAGAGTAGGTTTATAAATATGCCCATCATCTGGTCTGCTGGGAACACATACACTCCTGATGACAGATGACCTGATACGACGTTGCAGAGACAGACAGGAGAGCCCTAGTTTGGAAGCAGGAGACCTGGGTTAGCATCCCAACCCTGCTACTTTCTGTTATATGTCCTTGGACTAGTCCCTGGGTTTGTTTCCTTACCTAAAATATGAGGGGTGGGTGTTAAATAGTCATGAAGTTCCCCTTTAGCTCTGGAATTTTAGAATCTGTTCTTTTTTTTTTTTTTGAGACGGAGTTTCGCTCTTGTTACCCAAGCTGGAGTGCAATGGCGCAATCTCGGCTCACCGCAACCTCCGCCTCCTGGATTCAGGCAATTCTCCTGCCTCAGCCTCCTGAGTAGCTGGGATTACAGGCACACGCCACCATGCCCAGCTAATTTTTTGTATTTTTAGTAGAGACGGGGTTTCACCATGTTGACCAGGTTGGTCTCCATCTCTCGACCTTGTGATCCACCCACCTCGGCCTCCCAAAGTGCTGGGATTACAGGTTTGAGCCACCGCGCCCGGCAGAATCTGTTCTTAAGAGGCAAATGGATTCTTTTCCAGGCAAGTTCTAAATGTCCTAAATTGCCTTCCTTTCAAGGACACTGACTCCCCCACAAACGAAGAACGATTCAGACTTCAAACTGTTCCTGAGGTGCCAGGTAAAATGACTTTTCAGCATTCACTATAAAACCAGTTAAATAGTCTCCAGGAAAGTATATCTATCCCATACCATAAACGTAAGTTTTTTGATAATATGTCAGGCTTGAATCGAACCCTTTCAAAGAGCCTACTATTACACTCTGCTCTTAATCTGGTCCTCGGTGCACTCTGTACACTATAACCCTGTCCAAGGGTTATAGTATAAAGGCTACTTTGCCTCTGCCATCTGAACAGTCCTTGACTCCATCACTGATTAATTACTTCTCATGAAAATGCTTCTTTTGGTTATGTCTGACACCCGCAGCAGAGACTTCTTAGCTACAGCAAAAGAATACAATAACTGAAAACAGTTGCCCTAATAGTCAAATCTCAGTAATTCCCTTGACCACGCAGTGCTGTGCTAGGCACACTTCCATGCACTTTTTATATAAAGAGTATGCAGCACTCACACAAACCTGTCAGTTAGGTATTGCTCTGCCACCTGCCTCGACCAGTCGTTCATTATAAGGAGAAAAGTAGGCCAGGCACAGTAATCCCAACACTTTGGGAGGCTGAAGCAGGTGGATCACCTGAGGTCAGGAGTTTGAGACTAGCCTGGCCAACAGGGTGAGACCTCGGATCTACGAAAAATACAAAAATTAGCCGGGCGTGGTTGCGGGTGCCTGTAGTCCCAGCTACTCAGGAGGCTGAGGCAGGAGAATCGCTTGAACTCGGGAGGAGGAGGTTGCACTGAGCCGAGATCGCGCCACTGCACTCCAGCCTGGGCGACAGGGCGATACTCCGTCTCAAAAAAAAAAAAAAAAAAGAAAGAAAGAAAAAGAAAAAAAACCAAGAAGGGCAAAAGTGGAGACAGCCAGGAAGAGGGCAGAGCCGATAACTGATTCGTGAATAATTTAAAGTTGTCCATGCCACATTTCTCCTGAAGATGTCATGTCTAAAGTCTCAAGGGCAGACCTGACGGAAGCAAGGTGGGGAGGAGAGGCGGCTGGAAGCGGGCGTGACGCGGCTGAGGCCCGCACGGGGCGGGGGTCGGCGGGTCCCGGGGAGGCAACGGCGCGGGCGGCCTCAACGCCGCGCCACCCTCGGCAAATCCATCCAACCAACGGCGGCGCGGCGCCCCGCACACCCGGCAGCCGGCGCCACACCGGTCCCAGTCAGCCCCGGGGCGGGCTCCCATCCACCCGCCTGTCCGAGACCGTGTGGACGCGGGCCCAGACACCAGACCGGATTCTAGTCCGGTAAGCGAATCGCAATTCCCAGCCCCAGACGCCGCCGATACCGGAACCCGGAACCCGAATCTCCGAACCTCCGATTCCCAGCCCCGGTCCTCGGACCTGGCTCCCTTCCTCTGACCCGAACCCAGATCGCTGCCACGCACCTGCCTCCAGCCTCCTCGGTGGAGCCCAGTCTCTGCCCGCGGGGCAGTCGCGTCGACAGCAAGTACAAGGCGAAGGTGCAGCCGGCGAAGACGAGAAGCAGGCCGAGCAGCGGGCGCATGTCGGCTCCGCACCCCGGCCCACGGGGCCGCCAAGAAGCCAACTTGCGGCCCGGGACGCAGCGGCGGGCGGACTGAGCCCGCGGAGCACGTTCGCGGACGGACCGGGGCGGGGTCCGCGCCAAGCCCCGCCCCCGAGCCAGGCCCCGCCTCCCGGGCCAGGCTTTGCCCGCGATTCTGACGGCGGCAAAACCTGCTTCGCCGTCTGTCCTCTCTCCGTCTGTCCGTGCCTGTTTTTCTACGTTTATTACTGCATCTTTCTCCACTTATTCTGCAGGCATGGAGCGCCCCCAGTGCCGGCTCGGCGCCAGGGCTGGGAGATCCGGGGGTAAATCGTGAGCCCAGGCCGCAGCGAGCTTGCAGTCTAGGGGTCAAAGCAGTCCTGTCCACAACACAAAGCAAATGTAGCCGTTGTAGCACCAGCGGCTGCAGTCACGTGCGGCGGGGCGGTAATAGTGACGACGGAAATAATCCGAATTGCTTTTTATTCAGCCCCTGCTATATGCCCATTATCCCTGAGCCTCACAGTCATCCTGCAAGGTAGGTGTTTGTGTCTTTCTCTAACAGATGAAAACTCTTGAGTTTCAGAAGAATTAAATGACACCCCCTCCAAAAGAGAGCCAGTATAAGAATTCAAGTCAACCTGGGTCCAAAACCAGTGATCCTTACACTGTGTGGATTCACGGAGGAGACGGAGTTTACCTTCAAGGATAAGCAAGACTTCTGCAAACAGAAAAAGGAGGGAATGGGTGAACTAAGGCCCAAGTGAGGCGCCAGAGTCCAGTTTCAGTGAAGCCTAAGGTATATGAGAAATAAGTGAGACTCTGGGGACAAACAACAGTGCACTGAAGGCAGGCTAAGGAGTTGGATTTTTTTTTTTTTTTTTTTTTTAAGACGGTTTCACCATGTTGGTCAGGCTGGTCTTGCACTCCCGACCTCAGGTGATCCGCCCGCCTTGGCCTCCAAAGTGCTTGGATTACAGGCTTGAGCCACCACACCCGGCCAGAGTTGGATTTTTAATCATGTAGATGACACACCAACAAAGGTGTTTCAGAGAATGATTCAATTCCTGTTTTAGGATGTTCGCTTTGGCAGGTGATCAGAATACATGCTGAGTTGACAGCCGCAACTGCCTTGATAAGAAAATATGCCGGCCTGGCTGGGTGCAGTGGCTCACCCTTGTAATCCCAGCACTTTGGGAGGCCGAGGCGGGTGGATCATTTGATATCAGGAGTTTGAGACCAGCCTGTTCAACGTGGTAAAACCCCTTCTCTACTAAAAATACAAAAATTAGCTGGGTGTGGTGGCGCGTGCCTGTAATCCCAGCTGCTCGGAAGGCTGAGGCAGGAGAATCGCTTGAACCCGGGAGGTGGAAGTTGTAGTGAGCCGAGATCGCACCACTGCACTCCAGCCTGGGCAACAAGAGCAAAACTTCCTCTCAAAAAAAAAGTAAGAAAGAAAGAAAAAAGAAAGTATGCAGGCCTGATCCAGGAGGGAGGAGGCCGAGGGGAGTCGAATTGGTATGATATGTTACTGAGTAAATGAGGAAGGGATAGAAAGAGAATTGCAAAGTATCAAAAGCCTGCACAACAGAGAGAAAGCAACCTCGTCATATTATTCAGAGCACCTGTTAGGCCAAATAGGAAGCATCTTTCAGAATCTATGTGCACAAGATCTTAGCAATTCACATCCAAGAATGCAACCTGCATCCGAGAATGTAACGGAATTTAATTCCCCATCTATGAATGCCCATAGGTAGCGAAGACGTATGTTTAAGGGTGTTCTCTCAGCTTTGTTTTATATTAGGAGGTTGGGAATAACCTAAATGCCCGTCAGCTGGGGACTGGCTAAGTTAATTACGGCATATTCACAAATGGAATACTAGGTAGCCTCCTCAAAGACGAAGACAATTCTATATATCCGGATACAGCGCGGTCGCCAGACAGATGGCTAAGATACAAATACAGCAAACAACTTGCAGTGTTAGACTATACTATGTGTCCTTTGTAAGGACAAAAAAGAGGATGTACTTTTTTTAAGATACCAAAGTATTTATTTATTTAAAAAAATTTTCGGCCGGGCGCGGTGGCTCAAGCCTGTAATCCCAGCACTTTGGGAGGCTGAGGCGGGTGGATCACGAGGTCGAGAGATCGAGACCATCCCGGTCAACATGGTGAAACCCCGTCTCTACTAAAAATACAAAAAACTAGCTGGGCATGGTGGTGCATGCCTATAATCCCAGCTACTTAAGAGGCTGAGGCAGGAGAATTGCCTGAGCCCAGGAGGCGGAGGTTGCGGTGAGCCGAGATTGCGCATTGCACTCCAGCCTCGGCAACAAGAGCGAAACTCTGTCTCAAAAAAAAAAAAAAAAAAAAAAAAAAAAATTTCACAGAATTGTTATCGCATATAGACCCCAAAAATATTTACAAATGAAATCATTCAATGAGATTTGTATCAAAATAATGGTATGGGGGTTTAGTGAGTAAGGATATATGTAGAACAAGATTTTCCACGAGTTGGAGTTGATCGTTGTTGAAGCTGAGTGATCCCGGGTGTTTCATACTATTTGAGTGTTACACTGTTTTCTATTCTTGTGTATGTGTCAAATTTCCACTTAGGAAAATGAGGGGGCTGGGCACCGTGGCTCACGCCTATAATCCCAGCACTTTGGGAGGCCACGGTGGGCGGATCATGAGGTCAGGAGACTGAGACCATCCTGGCCAACATGGTGAAACCCCGTCTCTACCAAAAATACAAAAATTAGCTGGGCATAGTGGCTCGTGCCTGTAGTCCCAGTTACTTGGGAGACTGAGGCAGAAGAATCACTTGAACCAGACAGTCAGGGGTTGCAATGAGCCAAGACTGCGCCACTGCACTCCAGCCTGGCGACAGAGTGAGATTCCAAAAAAAAAGAAAGAAAATGAGGGGAAATGGTCTAAGCCCTCCATTCCAGCTGAACATTTTAGTTCATGCCCATCACACCACTCTTCCAGCCATCCGTCAGTCTTCTCTGCCTGGCAAGTTTCTACACTTTCATCAATACCCAGGATAATTATCACCTTCTCTAAGGGCCTTCTCCAGCCTCTATAGTTAGAAACATTCCTTCTCTATGCTTAGGGCCCCCTAAGCAATGTCTGTAATCCTGTTGCAAATACATATCCCAGCATCATTATCCATCTCCCCAGTAGACAGTGAACAATTCCATAAATGAGACAACGTCTCATCTGTCTTCTTTCTGTCTCAACTCTTAATCCTGGCACTTAATAACTGTTAAATTCATGGGTTCATCTCAACATGAACACATGTTGAGATGAAATACCTTGTGCAAAGTTTACAGCTGTGAGTGCTGAGCAGGACACGAGCCCTTGTCTGCCATGACATGAACTCATGCTTTTCCCTCTGCCCTCCACTGCCACTCAACATGCAGGTGAAACTCTGGAGCTCAGACCAAACATTCAGATTTGGAGATCATTCTACAGGAGAGAGTTGAAATAAGGGGAGGGAGAAGGTCTCCTAGAAACCCGCGTGAGAGGGAAAGTAACAGCAGGTGACTTTCGTACTTAGTACACTCCAGACCCTATACGAAGCGTTTTACTTACATGAGTTTACTTATTCCATATAACAACCCTCATGAAGTAGGAACTTTTTTTAGAGACAGGGTCTGCCTATGTTGCCCAGACTGGTCTTGAACCTCTGACCTCTAGTGTTCCTCCTGCCTGGGCCCCCCAACGTGCTAGGATTACAGGCTTGAGCCACCACACCTGGTCTAAAGTAGGAACTCTTAACAGTCTCACATTTATAGTCCGGGAAAATGAAGCTTAGGAAGAATGAAGTCAGTAAAGCAACGGAAGTCACACACCGCAAACAGCAGAGCCCAAATCTCTTACCATGTACTACCTTTCTGAGACAGAAAGGTAGTTCAAAAGCAGAAGCCTGATGACGAAATGGTGGAAGCAGTGAAAGAGAACCAGATGCCCCATTCCATTTGTGGGATGAAAAACAGAAAAAAAAAGAAGGTCCTGAGAGCCCAAGAAAGACTTTAGGAAAGGAACTGGGGTACAGTGGCAGAGTGCATGAAGAAACCCAGCAGGGAAGCCTGAGACTCATAGAATTTGGCCAACACCAGGTGGTAAGGGGCCTTCGACAGAGCTCTTTTGAGTGGTGCTTACCTGCTTTGCTACAGGCTCAAGACTGGAGCACCTGCTTGCTTCCCCTGACCTGCCTCCTGGACTCATGTTGTGATTCCTCTTGCTCAACCTGTCTGCCTGGGGAAGAAGCCCTGGACTGTGCTCCCCAATCTCAGCATCCCCAACCTTCCTGGCCCCCACTCAGTACCTGCAGAGCTAAGTCTGACCAGCCAGGGCACCTCCTGCAGGCTGCACCGGCCCCAATCAAGGTCACGCATTTCCAGCACATGCCCACACGCCGTGTGACCAAAGACAGCCGCAATCCTCCATCAGCTGCAGTCCTTTCCCAGGCACTTGCTGGACCGGGAAACGGGTGGGAAAAATGAAAAGGTAAGAGGCAGCCGGGCGCGGTGGCTCAAGCCTGTAATCACAGCACTTTGGGAGGCCGAGGCGGGTGGATCACGAGGTCGAGAGATCGAGACCATCCTGGTCAACATGGTGAAACCCCATCTCTACTAAAAATATAAAAATTAGCTGGGCATGGTGGCACGTGCCTGTAATCCCAGCTACTCAGGAGGCTGAGGCAGGAGAATTGCCTGAACCCAGGAGGCGGAGGTCGCAGTGAGCCGAGATGGCGCCATTGCACTCCAGCCTGGGTAACAAGAGCGAAACTCCGTCTCAAAAAAAAAAAAAGAAAAGAAAAGGTAAGAGGCTCCTCTGGGAGCAGGTTAGCCAGGCATTTACTGTGCCTCTTCGTCAATAGCAGGCAACGTTTTTGGTCTTAATCAGACTTCCCCAAGAAGTAACAAAGGAGCCAACCTCTCTCTTTTCCGGGAAGTCTGGGAAATGGGCTATTGGCCTCCAAAGATAATGAAGACAATAGTAAAATAGTTGAAAGAAGCCGCTCTGAAGACTATGTGATTTTGCTTCCCCACCCCCACCCCAACCAGGACTGATGGAACT